CCTACTGGTGGTTCCCTCACTGCGAGAAGCAAAGCTACAGGGAACCAGGCAGAGGGCCTTCTCGGTAGTGGCGCCTGCCCTGTGGAATGCCCTCCCATCAGACGTCAAAGAGAGAAACAACTACCTGACATTTAGAAGACATCTGAAGGCAGCTCTGTTCAGGGAAGTTTTTAATGTGTGACATTTTAATGTATTTTTAATCTTTGTTGGAAGCCGCCCAGAGTGGCTGGGGAAGCCCAGCCAGATGGGCGGGGTACAAATAATAAATTATTATTATTATTATTATTATTATTATCATCATCATCATCATCATCATAGGTTTGTTAGCCTTTTGATGTCACAACACCCTTAGTCAGGGCTGGCCAACCTATAGGAGGAGGGTTGTGGCATGTTCACAGGCTGGTTCAAGATATTTTGCTGTCTGAGGCAAAGGAGAAGATGCCACCTTCTCCTCATTCCATGTACAAAAGACTGGCAGGTGAATCTTACTTCAACACCAGAAAAGGAATAGCATCCTCCACTGCACTAGAGCCCCCCTCCCCCCGGATAGACTCCGTGTGGCATATACAGCTTTGTGATCTTGTAGAGTGGAGTGGCTGGAATCTGCTGTCTGAGGCAGTTGCCTCACTCTGCCTTATGGTAGGGCTGGTCCTGTAGGTCCAGATGCACCTGTAAAAACAGCTGGCTTCCTAAAAAAGACAACTGAGAAGGATTTATGCTCTGAGTCTTGGTTTGACCTTCTGGGGAACCTCCGCTAACACTAGCTTGGAATTAGCACTGCCTGTGAGCCTGTTGCTTTGCTCCCATACCTGCACATTTGCCAAGAATTTTACGAAATCATAAGCCAACAACATCTTCTCTTCCAAATGAAGCTGATTTGCTGAACTTCCCTTGGGGAGGGGAATATCATTTGACTCTCTTAAGTCCCCCCGCCCCCCCCGGCATCAAGCGATGTAGCTCATAGATTCACATTTCCACTGCAGACGCACTCACTCACAAACAAGGCCAGCTAGCTGGGGAAGGAGGGTTTTTTTAAAAAAAATAAAAATTAAAGGGGGTTAAATCAGTGGAAAGGAACACATGCTGCATGCAGACATAAATAATAGATTAAAGAAAGTGAATTCTGCAAAGCCTCGGGGAGCTTTTATACATCTGAAAACCTCGTTTCCTCAAGAAAAGTGAACTACAAACGATCTGCAAAAAATATATTCAACTTACTAGGTTTAAAACACATGCCTTTTTGGGGGAGGGGGGAGACTAATGAGAGTTTCTGGCTAAAAAAGCAAAAGCCACAAGGGCTGTTTGCTTGGAATATTTATGCAACTCTCTTAAGGCTGGATCAGTAGTGATGCTAGCATAACAGTTTATCTCCATCAGTTGTAAAGAGCATCGCTTAACTCTGTTCAGCTGCATCCTAAGCATCTTTGCTTAGAAGTAAGGCCCAGAAAGTTAGCAGAGAGCTTCACACTGCAGGTGTGGCTAAACCGCTAACTCCTATCATCCCTGAGCATTGGCCATGCTGATGGGAGTTGTAGTTTAGTAGCACCAGGAGGGCAGCAGGAACTTCACCCTTGATTTAGGGGACTGGGGTGGGTGGTACACCATACCTAGTTTGCATAAAACCAAATGCTTCAGTTCTGAGGAACTTCCCTATGCTAGTTCTTTCAGTTTTACATAATTTCCTTTACAAATAATTGGCCTAGGACCAGAAGCTGATTTATATCTCCCTTTTTTCACAGTTAAAAAAACATGTGCAATGCCACCCGTTGTGGATGCACATTTAAAGGCAGTTTCCCTGGCAAAGGGACTACACATGATTCAACACATGACTCCCTCTGTGTACTGATTATTGCCATACCTTTTAATTGCCAATACAACTAGAAACCTTCTCTGAGAAAAGACTATTTATGTATGCGACCACGGCTGCCTGGTTGCTATTGGCCCAGAGTTGGAAAAGAGAAAAAGTCCCGACCAGAGAACAATGGCAGATGAAGTTGATGGATTATGCCGAAATGGCAAAAATGACCGAAGAATCAGAAATCAGGAAGACCAAAAAGTTAATAAAGAATGGGGAAATTTTTTATAATTTATCTTAAAAACCACTGTAAACAGTTAATTTTTTTAGTAGGATTGGAATAACACTTGTGGTTTGATGGTGAATTTTGGATATAATGGAGATGTAAAAGACTTGGATTATTATAAAAGATGCAGGAGGAAACGATTAATAATAGGACCCACAAAGGGGAGGAGGGAAGTCCAGGAGATTCTATGGAATCTTGTCTATGTTGTATTTTGGATATGTGATTGTAAAACTATAATTTGAAAAACCAAATAAATAAATTTTTAAAAAGGAAGGAAGGAAGTATGAAACAATAAAATTATAAAGAAAAGAAAAGAAACCTGTTATGTACTGAAGTTTTCACCCTGGGCCAGCAGGGGGATACTGTAGATAGTTATGCAAATGAAGGATCGAAAGTGACGTTCAGTGATTGGCTAGTTACAGAAAATGGTTACTGTTGCATTCTAGTGGAGCTCTATATAAGCAGGCTGACTGAGCTCCTCAGTTCAGTTCAGTTCCAGGTTACAAATGAAGTGCTGCTTTGGAAGAATCGCTGTGTCGTCTGATATGTTCGCCCACAACTTAACAAAACCTTTTCCGAGTTAACATCTCACACCATTATAAGCTTTGTTTTAGAGCTGTGGTTGCCAACCAGACCCAGGGCAGAGGCATATTTGGAATTGTGAGAGAGTGTCACTCACAAACTTTCAGCCTAACCAACCGGTCAGGGACTGGCTGGATGAGGAAGAGGGATGGGGGCTACCCACACTAGAGCCCCCCCCCCCAAGGAAGGCACAGATGATGATGACTTAGATCCCAGATCCTGGTGGTGGGACACTGAAGAGCATTCTGCATAAGAGACAAGCTGGGAGATGTTAGAAGCAAGGGGCTTGAGTGATCAAGGAGGTGTGGTCAGAAGGAGTGCCTTCCAGGGTTAGCAAGGGTCAGCAAACTTTTTCAGCAGGGGGCTGGTCCACTGTCTCTCAGACCTTGCGGGGGGGGGGGGCGGACTATATTTTGAAAAAAGAAGAAGAACGAATTCCTATGCCCCACAAATAACCCAGAGATGCATTTTAAATAAAAGCACACATTCTACTCATGTAAAAACACGCTGATTCCCGGACCGTCCATGGGCCAGATTTAGAAGGGATCCGGCCCCCAGGCCTTAGTTTGCCTACCCATGGGTTACAGGCTGAAAGTCGCAGAGTGAGTGCAGACTCAGACAGAAAGGAATCAGAGGTTGGCCCTGGTAGGCAGCAGCAGGTCTCTTAATCTCAGGGTCATGGATTAGAGCCAGGGCCGGAGTAAGGTTTGATGATATTCTAAGCTACTGAAGGTAATGGGGCCCTTTATATGTCCATCTGTCCTTTGTCAACAACAAATTGTCACTGTTTTTTTGTGTTGAATATATGCTATATGGTAATTTACAGACCTACTATAATAGGTATCTAAAGCCATTTGCACATAACAAATAGGAGTCTACACAACACAAAACACTGTTGCTGCATGTAGGTTTTATTTTATTTGCTTTTTATCTTATATTTTAGAAATGTACATCCAGGTTTTTTTCCTTGGGGGGGTAAGAAAGTGGGGCCCTAAGCTATAGCTTGTTTAGCTTATGCGTAAATCTGGCACTGGTTAGAGCCCAACACCGGGGAAAAGATACCTGCATTGCAGGGGGTTGGACTAGATGACCCACGTGGTCCCTTCCAACTCTACAATTCAATGCCTATGTCTATTCCTATTCTATGCCTACTGCACAAAGGTCACACCGAGGTTAGACTATGTCTAGTCCTTACTGAGGATTCATTCTGATTTGTTTGCGGTGAGGTTATACAATAATGCACATTCATCCTGAATTCATCCCGATTCGCTTGTGTGGTGGTTATACACAGTGCTTTTTTTTCTTCATGGAAAAAAATGTGCTGGTACTCACCATGAAGTTGTTACAGTAAGTGCCACACGTTAAACTTTTTTTTTGGGGGGGGACTGTTTAGCCTTGAGTACCCCCAGAAAAAAGCACTGATTATACATCTTTCTGTTAGTAATTCATTCATCCCACACTTTTCTATGAATTTCCCTGCTTTTCTTTTTTAGAAAAGAAAAGGGGAGGGGGTTGCATTTGGAGTGACTGAGTGCACTTAATCTACTTTAATTGCAGAAACCTACCGTATTTTTTGCTCTATAAGATGTATCAGACCACAAGACGCACCTAGTTTTTGGAGGAGGAAAACAAGAAAAAAATATTCTGAATCTCAGAAGCCAGAACAGCAAGAGGGATCGCTGCGTTGTTCTGGCTTCTGTGATAGCTGTGCAGCCTGCATTCGCTCCATAAGATGCACACACATTTCCCTTTACTTTTTTAGGAGAGAAAAAGTGAGTCTTATAGAGCAAAAAATACGATAAATTTTTAGCATGCGTTTGAATTCCTCTCGCAAAATACTGATGGTCTGGAGACGACCACAGTTATTTTTGACCTCTGTTATGGCCCTCTCATCTTGATGCTTTGAAGACCAGGTATATTTCCAAATTTTGCCCTCCTGAGTTAAGCAGTTAGGAATGTAACAGAAGGTATTCCTGGGCAGGGGCAAAACTAGGCTTTATTCATCCGGGTCAAAGATCCAGTTTGGCAACCCCACTATGCACACAAACACAGGCTGGGAGCCTCAATGGAGCCTCTCTGGAGGCTTCACCCGGGGCAAAAAACCTGGCTAGTCCCGCCACACCCCACATCTATGGCACTCTCCTAGGCAACTGGTTTTGTTTGCTCCTGATGTGGGATGCTGAGAGTTGTAGCAGGTTGGAGGAGAAATGCCCACTCCTAATTGAAGTATGTAGGGACGCAGGTGGTGCTGTGGGTTAAACCACAGAGCCTAGGACTTGCCGATCAGAAGGTCGGCGGTTCGAATCCCCACGATGGGGTGAGCTCCCATTGCTCGGTCCCTGCTCCTGCCAACCTAGCAGTTAGAAAGCACGTCAAAGTGCAAGTAGATAAATAGGTACCGCTCTGGCGGGAAGGTAAACGGCGTTTCCATGCACTGCTCTGGTTCGCCAGATGCGGCTTAGTCATGCTGGCCACAGGACCTGGAAGCTGTACGCCGGCTCCGTCGGCCAATAAAGCGAGATGAGCGCCGCAACCCCAGAGTCGGTCACGACTGGACCTAATAATAATAATAAATAATAAATTTTATTTATATCCCGCCCTCCCCAGCCGAAGCCGGGCTCAGGGCGGCTAACAACAATCAAATAATCCAACATTCTAAAAACATTTCATTCTAAAAATTAATTAAAATCAAATCAATTAAAATCAAATTGATGGCAACCGTTAAGCAAAATTCTGGGCAGGTTGCCAGAGGAGGGAGTCAGGCTGCGCCCTCACCAAAGGCCTGGTGGAACAGCTCTGTCTTGCAGGCCCTGCGGAAAGATGTCAGGTCCTGCAGGGCCCTAGTCTCTTGTGACAGAGCGTTCCACCAGATTGGAGCCGCAGCCGAGAAAGCCCTGGCTCTAGTTGAGGCCAGCCTAACCTCTCTAAGGCCTGGGACCTTCAAGATGTTTTTATTTGCAGACCGTAAGTTCCTCTGTGGGACATACCAGGAGAGGCGGTCCCGTAGGTACGAGGTTAAAACCAGCACCTTAAACCTGATCCTGTACTCCTACCTAATGGTCAGGGGTCCCTTTACCTTTACTTAATTGAAGTGTCTACTGTACACATATTGCTTCCTGCAGGTCTGACATGGGCCAGGCACTTCTAAGCCTGCCTTTGCTGCTAGATAATATCATGATGACAGAATAAAAAGGTTACTGTTTACGCAACAGAGATATTGGTTTGGTAGAATGTTTGACAAGCAGGCAATTGGCAGTACTTGACTGACATTCCAACTCTCATTAGGGAAGAACAATATACCTCCCAGGAAGGTGCCCCATATTTTCCTAGCAAGGCCCACCTCTTGCTCAGAGAACCATGGGTCTCAGCCGAGACAGGAAAATGCAATGTCATGATATTACATAAAAATAATAGCACATCTTGTAGGTTAAGCACCGTCTCTTGGGATTTTGAAGACTCGTCCTCCGAGCTCAGCTTTAGGGAATTCTAGGCGCCAAATGCTGAGCAGGCAACCTTGTGGCAGAGGGAATGTTACACCTGAGGGCTCATTTATCATGCCCTGGAAAGCTTTGGGTGCCTACATTTGACCTCAGGAAACAAGCAGATGCGAGCAGGACTGGCATGGCTTTGGGAACTGGCAGAGTGCTGTACTTTGAACTTGGAGACCAGGTTTTGATGTCCAGGTTGCTATTTTCAGCCTCACTCTTCCCTTCTATAAAATGGGTTCAATAGCAGTGACCTCGTAAGCATTTTCATAGGAGGGCATGGGAAAACATACAAATATAGCAACCTGGACATCGAAACCTGGTCTCCAAGTTCAAAGTACAGCACTCTGCCAGTGATGTCACGATGAAAACCATCCAATAGGGGACCATCCTTTAAGCAGCCACAATCCATGCAGCATTCCCAACTGCAGACAGACACATTAGCTAGGTAGAGAAGCAAAATCACACAGCCGTGCCCACCAATATGTTCTTGATTTGAGTGCTGGGAGAATACGACAAGCTTGCCACAGAAGCAATCCCTCGCATCTGGGATCCCCCTAGAGCAAACAAGTAACATAACTGCTAAGTAATTGCACAGACAAGCGAAAGATCATCTGCAACGGCTCTTAATAGCTCTAGAATAGTGTTCTCTTTGCAAAGGATGCCCTCCACACGAGTGGTGCTCATCTCTCAGGGAGGCTCAGAACCAAGGCAGAGCTGTAACTATTGATCTGGCAGTAACTGGCTGACAGCGCAATGTCTCTTTAAGAGCGCACAGCTGTGAGGCTGTGCCAGCAGATACTGTATCCACCCATAGTAGTTTCCCTCCCATTTCAAGGGATGTGTTTGTATTCCTGCCTTGTTGCTGATACATAAATCTCATTGGCTTTGTTTTATGGTGCTAGGCAAGGATCAGCCAGCTGTCTTTATGTGGGTGGAACCTGAGGTGAATGAGTTGTCATTTCAGGTAGTTTGGTGGTTGCTGGCCAAGGGTCCCATTTCCAGTTACTCCAGATGCCCCAGAAGAAACTGGCAAGAGCTGGCTGAGCGAATTAGCAGGGATGTTATTAGTGGGTGGCCTGGCAGAGGTGGGGAGAGGGGAAGGCAAGTCCCAGGTCTTTTAGACCAAGCCCCACAGCTCTTTACTTTTTACAAAGCAAAATAGCCAACAAAGGACCCCACCACTCCATACGAGAGCATCTTTCTGGGGTCAACTTCCAGGTGACCTGTTCACTGAGCTTTCATCACGATTTCTTTGAAGCGATTAGCTGACATGGCTATTTAATGCACATTCATTCCATTTTGTTTGCAGGGATGTTAGATGCATCAAGGCAAGTGTTACTTTCTAGCACATTTCCCCATCTCTTATCAGAAAACCTCTGTGCAAGTCTTTCCCATCAATTGTAATTGTGCAACCTGAATTTCTTGGTATGTGATTGAATCCCACCCCAAAACAGCGGCAGGATGGAAACACCCTGAGATTGCATGGATAGCACCTTGTTTTGCTGTGTGTTTAATAAAAGCTTGCCAAGTGGAATTGAATATGTCCTTTTTTATCTGCTCCTCTTGGGCCAATTTTTCCAGAAACTCCAGAAATCGGGACTATAAGCAGACCCCCAGAAAAGCTCCCTTTAATTACTTCCGGTGAAGCAACAAAAATTCTAGCAGCCATTAAAAGAAAATTAACAATGTTTTCCTGCTTGCTGTTTGTATTCTTGCCACCCCAGATGTTAAGGAGCACCAGTGTGGGCATAGGGCACAGCTGGATGTGCTGAAAACCACAGTACGGGTATGAAAACCCACCCCAAAATCTTCAGCCTGGGCAGCAAAACAAATCCTTGGCAGCAAGTTAACTTTTCAGAAGCTGTCCTAAAATTTCGTACCTCCATTTAAATTAGCCTATATTTAAACAAATACAGTGGCATCTCTGGTTACGTACCGTACTTAATTTGTTCCAGAGGTCCGTTCTTAACCTGAAGCACCACTTTAGCTAAAGGGGCCTCCTGCTGCTGCCACGCCACCGCCGCACGATTTGTGTTCTCATCCTGAAGCAAAGTTCTTAACCCGAGGTACTATTTCTGGCTTAGCGGAATCTGTAACCTGAAGCGTATGTAACCTGAAGCGTATGTAACCTGAGGTTCCACTGTATGCATCATTGGACTACGCTCTGAGTCTTTTTGGTACCTAGCATATCACGTCATGTTTAATGAACCCATCTTACAACAAAGTAGGCATCAGATTCCTTGCTCTCAAGAAATTCCTTTTCCATGCTGAGAATCCCTTCATTTTGCAAAGGATCCTGGGATGCATTCAAAGGCAACTTCTTAGTTCACCCTGGGTCCCTCCCCACTCTCCGGCCTAGAAAGTGACACACTCCCCTGATGTTGCACATTGCAAAAGGAAGATCGGTCGCAGTGGACAAGCTGTTTCAGGGAAGCTTGCCTGTCACTGCCGATCTAAACCGGCAAGGAACCCCATTGTCCCTGGGAACACAGTTTGAAAGCCACTGCAATGGCACTAAAATATTGGCTTGGGGCGGGGGGTTACTCTGGGTGTATGGATTTCTCGCTGTCGAAACAATTATACCAAGAGCTGAGCGGTCTGAGGTTTTTTGCACATTCATGGCAGGGTGAAGCTAAAGCGAGCTGACTTTGCCATGCCGTTGTTTCTCAACACATCTCCAGATAGCGAGTTGATGTGCCCTCACTAAAGCTACTCCACATCATCCTACTGCACAGATGCACTCATCTGCAGCGTGTGCATGTTCTGGACTGGGATTCAGAGGTAAAAAGGGACACTTTGTACCTCCTAATCGATGCCACCTGGAAGCGTCTTTTCACCCACCCATAAGAAATGCAAGAAGAACCTTCATCTAATCCAGCATCTTTTATGGGATGTTAGCATCCATTGAATTATGGTGCTGGAGGAGACTCTTGAGAGTCCCATGGACTGCAAGAAGATCAAACCTATCCATTCTTAAGGAAATCAGCCCTGAGTGCTCACTGGAAGGACAGATTGGGAAGCTGAGGCTCCAATACTTTGGCCACCTCATGAGAAGAGAAGACTCCATGGAAAAGACCCTGATGTTGGGAAAGATGGAGGGCACAAGGAGAAGGGGACGACAGAGGATGAGATGGTTGGATAGTGTCTTTGAAGCTACCAGCATGAGTTTGACCAAACTGCGGGAGGCAGTGGAGGACAGAGGTGCCTGGCGTGCTCTGGTCCATGGGGTCACGAAGAGTCGGACACGACTGAACAACTAAACAACAACAAGCATCCAAAATGCATATGTAAAGTGTTAATTGCAAGAGTTGTAGGACTCTGTGACACCATACACCCTGTGACAGTTATGGCAGTTGGTACAGTTATGGCAGTTGGTACAGTTATGGCAGTTGAACAGTCTTAACAGTTAGAGGCAGGTATAAACTGTTATGCTGCTGTCTGCCCCAGAGTTAGTTAGTCTGTAACTATGTGTAAGGTGTCTTAGCAATTTAGGAAACACCCACCTGCATTGTATATTTAATTTGCAACTGCAAGTATACAAAGTAAAAGTTATATGCTCTTTTAAACATTTTTTTAAGGTGTCTTGCGTAGTTTTTTATTGCAGGGGAAAAGAGAACCAATTAAAGGGTCAAACGACCCAGGGCTGTCTTCCACATACTCCGCAAATGGGAACTAGAGTTTAATTCCCATAGTGGCTGACCAGATGTTTCTGGGATGTTACTCAGCAGGGCAGAAAGGCAATACCTTTTCCTATTACTCCCTCAGTAACTGGTCCTCAGATGCCACTCATTTAAAAAAATATATATATTTTTATTTATACTTTCCATGTTTACACATTTCACTGATTTTACAATCATTTTAACATTTCAAAATCTGACTTCCTTCCCCCCTCTTTCTGCGGTTCATTAGATTTATTTTTAATACCTTCTGCATATCCAAATTAACTTAATTTGCCTATTTATTCATCTTCTTTAAATATATATTCTTATGAAACTGCAGGCTATTACAATAATCCTGCCAATGTTCTTATCTGTTTACCATTTATCTGCATTTATCAATAAACCATTTCCATTCTTTTATAAAAAGTTTGTTATCTTGATTTCTTATTCTTCCGGTAAGTTTTGCCATTTCTGCATATTCCATAAGTTTTTGTACCCATTCTTCCTTTGCTGGGACTTCTGCTTCTTCCCATTTTGGTGCAAGTAACATTCTTGCCGCTGTAGCCACATAAATGAATAAGTTTCTATACAGTTTAGGTAGTTCTGTCCCTATAATTCCCAAAAGAAAAGCTTCCAGTCCCAGATGCCACTCATGGCCAGCATGATTAGTAGCCATTGAGAGAATTCTCATCCGTGATTTTGGCAACACTTCATGCTACGTCAGTGACCATCGCCACATCTCGTGGCTGTGTTCCATAAGTTAGTCATCCGTCGTGTGGAAAAGCACTTCCTTTTGTCAGTTCTCTTGGCTCCCCTGCCTATCGTGGGATGATCCTGGATTCTAGCATTATGAGAAATGATGGGAGGTGAAGAAGTCTACTCCCTTTCTCCTCAGTATGTGAATGTACAATCTACACTTTCATAAAAATAGAGGAAGAAGAAGAAGAAGAAGAAGAAGAAGAAGAAGAAGAAGAGGAGGAGGAGGAGGAGGAGGAGGAGGAGGAGTTTGGATTTGATATCCCGCCTTTCACTCCCCTTCAGGAGTCTCAAAGCGGCTAACGTTCTCCTTTCTCTTCCTCCCCCACAACAAACACTCTGTGAGGTGAGTGGGGCTGAGAGACTTCAGAGAAGTGTGACTAGCCCAAGGTCACCCAGCAGCTGCATGTGGAGGAGTGGAGACACGAACCTGGTTCACCAGATTACGAGTCTACCTCCCTTAACCACTACACCACACTGGCTCTCAAGAGAGCAGGACCCAAGGTTCAGACATCACCGAAATCTGAGGGTAAACCAATTCTGCGAGGTAGTAAGCTGCCACCACTCCTGACGTCTGTCCGCCCATCCTGAGGTCTCAGGTCAAAGTCTAGACATCTCTAAGATCCCAATGAACAACAGCTAAAGTTGCACTCTCTGCTTTCAGGGGGCGTTCAAATTACACGGCAGATGTGACCAAAGAGATTGAAGACACCGGTTTAGAATCAAGGCTTAACCCAAACAAGTCCACCAAAACGAAGAGGTAGATATTACATTACTGTAATAAACCCGTTGTCTTCTGCATTTTCCCCTGCCCCCTACCTCCCAGTTCAAAGGCCGAGAGGAAAAGTTGAGCAATGTATGCCTAAGTACACATGGGAGGCTGAAAAGCTTCCTTGATTTATGGATGCCCAGGCGACAGGTTCTTTAAAAACCCTGCTCTAAGCATTCCTGCCCTCTCAGAAAGCAGAATCACCAATCAATCTCATTTTGCCCTGGCAATCAACTGTAATTATTCATCTTCTCCAGCCAGGAAGATCACCTCTCCTTCTATTTCAGGGATTTGGTCTATGGTTCTTCAGGCGCTGTTGGACTACAAATCCCATCAGCCCCAGCAAGCATGGCCGATGACCAGAGATGATGGGAGCCATAGTTTGGCAACATCTGGAGGGCCGCAGTCTCCTTAACCTTGCTGTTCACCCAAACCTAGCTTCCAACCTCAAGAACTGTGCACAGAGCACCATCTAGTGGCAAAGTCTTGTGAATGCCTCCATTTCTCCAAACTCTATTAAATGAATTTGACTTTTCTTTTTTTAAGCCATCATTTCAAAGACAAAACTTTGCTTTGTTGACTTCTGTATGGCCAGTACAGGTTAGGAACACAGGTAAAAACCTTTCTCCTGTAGAAATGACACCAAATTTGCTTGTTACTCACATTGTACACCTTTTATCACTGCAATTTAACTGGCCCTCTCTTTTTATTGTATATGCTGCGGTTTCATAAAAAATAAAATAAAATGCTTATATTTATCTCCTGCCTTTTTCCCCACTAGAGAACCTAAGCCTTGCAGTGGTTCTCAACCTGTGGGTCCCCAGATGTTGTTGGACTACAACTTCCATCATCTCTGAGCTCTGGCCTTGCTAGCTAGGGGTGATGGGAGTTGTAGTTCAACATCTGGGGACCCACAGGTTGTGAAAGGCTGAAAGGCATGATGCCAGAATGCATGTGGTTCCTAGGCAGTATCCCATCCAGACACTGACCAGCCCCAGCCTCATGGGTCTTCAAACCATACTCTGTGGGTTTTTTAAAATAAAAAACAGAGAGTTTATTTTTTCCCCCATTGCTATTAACTACTGTTGGAAAGGGGCAGCACTGAAATACAAATGTTTCTTTATTTATGGCACTGATTTTAGCATTTGCATTGCCTGTTATTCCATGCTTAGGTGCTTAACTGGATAGAACTCTTTAGATCAAATCTTCCACTCCTTATTTGAGGGTTGAGCTATAGTCTTACTGCAGAAAGCTGCCACATTAGCCTGCCCAAGGAAAAGGTGAAATACAATCGATCAGCAGCTGCTAGGAGGACCCAGAGTCATTATGGTTCTGGGAACACAAAGGATGAAGTCAGCATTCTGGGAAAGTGCTAATGAACCAAAAAGCACAGAGAACCTTCTGAGTAATCACCAAACAAATGTAAAGAGACCTACATACTAAAGAGACATGTGCAGGATCTGCCTAAGGTGGAGCTCCTGCGGAAAGGGAAGTGCTTAATGGGATAAGGAGTCCTCTTCCAGAGTTTCTCATTTATTGCCTCTAATGAGAAATCAGGCTGAGTCATCTTTTCTTTTTCCTGCCAGCTTTCTTTCTGATGGGAAGTGGGCAGTTGCCCCTGGAGACTGTCCAGGATGCTACCAGTCAAGTGTTTCAGGTGGAGAGGCTGCTTTTAGCGGACACATCTCTGGGTTTGTGGTGGCAGCACAGCAAAATGGTGAGAAGGGTGGGCGAGCATGCATTCGCACGCCTGCACACACAAGCCCTGTGTTATGTACTGAAGTTCTCACCCTGGGCCAGCAGGGGGATACTGTAGATAGTTATGCAAATAAGGGATCGAAAGTGACGTTCAGTGATTGGATAGTTTTAGAAAATTGTTACAGTTACGTTGTACTGGAGCTCTATATAAGCAAGCTGACTGAACCCTTCAGTTCAGTTCTGTTCTGGCCTGTGAATAAACAAGAGCTGTTTGAAGAATCACTGTGTCGTCTGATATGTTCACCCACAACTTAACACCCCGAACCCGAATCCCATTGCATCAAAATCCTGAAGACCGGAACGTGTGAATTAAGGGTACAATCCTTTGGAGACATCTGGGAATAAGTCTCAAACTCAGGGGGATCTGCTTCTGAATAAATATGCATTTGAGCAGGGGGCATTAAGATAAAATTGTGACCTTCTCCCCCACTTTCCTAAGAATAGACCTACATTTAAAAACTACAATAGCCACCCCATGGGCTGGGCAATATCTGGTTTTCCACATCACAATATATCACCAGCTAAACATCATGATAAGGGATGCGGGTGGAGCTGTGGGTTAAACCACAGAGCCTAAGACTTGCCGATCAGAAGGTCGGCAATTCGAATCCCCATGACAGGGTGAGCTCCCGTTCCTCGGTCCCTGCTCCTGCCAACCTAGCAGTTCAAAAGCACGACAAAGTGCAAGTAGATAAATAGGTACCGCTCCGGCGGGAAGGTAAACGGCGTTTTCGTGCGCTGCTCTGGTTCGCCAGAAGCGGCTTAGTCATGCTGGCCACATGACCTGGAAGCTGTACGCCGGTTCCCTCAGCCAATAAAGCGAGATGAGCGCCGCAACCCCAGAGTCGGCCATGACTGGACCTAATGGTCAGGGGTCCCTTTATCTTTACCTTTAAACATCATGATATACTGTTATATCATGATGCCTGAAATAAGGATGGAACTATGTACAGTGGTACCTCCGGTTGTGAAAGGGATCCGTTCTGGAGCTCTGGATGCATCCTGAAGTGTCCGCAACCAGAGGCGCCTGTTCTGCACATGCGTGCGACGCCGTAGAGGACTTCTGTGCATGCGTGAGACGCACAGAGCGCTTCCGGGTTTGCCACGTTCGCAACCCAAAGTTTACATATCCAAAGGGATATGTAAGCAGAGGTACGACTGTAGAGGCATTAGCTGGCTTCATGGTTTTCCTGACATCGTGATTTTGCTGGTGCTTGCTCTTGTGATTCGCTGACCCCTGCATGAGGCAGGGGAGAGATGAGCTGGCAGAGGTCACAGGGGCTGCAGGAATCGAGAGAACCATTGGCTGGCTTCACAGTTTCCCCCACATTGTGATTTTTGCATGGCACACACACAGAGAATGATTCATGATACAGTTTAAGTATAGCATAGCAATGATTTAAATAAATAAACATAAGCATAAGCATAAAAATGCAAACACAACAATCAAAAGGAAAAAAGAAAAGAAAAGACAATCTACAATCTACTCAGAATTTGAAATTTAAAGTTGCTAGATCTGTTTGGTGACTTTCCCCCATTCGGCATTCTAGGAAAATGGAAAGTGGGGTAGAGAAAAGGGCCATGAAGAGGATTAAGACTGAATTAACTGAGCAATGCCAACAGCAAAGACTTCTGTATTAGAAGAGCAGCTCACACATCTATACCTATCACATGTCTATACCTTGGAAATAGCTGTAGCTCTATGGTATTTCCACGCCAAAGGTCCGAGGCTCAATCATTGATGGTTCCAAGTACAGCTGGGAAAGGTTCCCATCTAAAATCCTGGAGAGCCTCTTCCAGTCAGTGGTGGCAATAATGATCTAGATGGAACAATAGTCTGACCCGTTATGGCAGCTTTCTCTGGACTCAGCTACATTAGTAAGGAAAATGCATTTTGAATGCATTATAAACATGCAACACCAGATGGCGCCAGAGAATCAAAAGAAATCCGACATGATTTTCCACAGTGTTTTTTCCTTTTGTTTTAACCATTTAATTTCTGACTTATTTATAGTGCCCATCCCCCTGTGTGTAGATTCCCCCAGAGATTCCTATGTAGTGGAGCACTTATTTTTAACCTTAGCATCGTAGAGTTGGAAGGGACCATCAAGACCTCACAATGCAGGAATCTTTTGCCCAATGTGTGGCTCAAACCCATGACCCTGAGATTAAGAGTCTCATGCTCTACCATCTGAGCTTTAAAACACAGTAATATCCCACTTTTCCGGTGTGTATAAGCAGCCCAAAGCAGCTTACAACTAAAAAAGAGTTAGGCATAGCAATTTTTGAAAACAAATAACAATAGCACAGCAGGAATAACCATTTTTTAAAAAAATGAAGGGAAAGACCAAAAGATAAATCAATCGTTATACAAGTCATAAGCCTGCTGAAATAAAGAAAAAGCTTTTCGGGGTCACATCTGCAAAATAAAGCAAATAAAAATGCAATCCGCTTTCCCTGGACTGAACAGCCCCTCAACTCACTAGGCTCTCAGAGGATTCTTACTTGAGTTGCAGCTTTTTGTTTGCCTTTCTGCTTATCGTGTTGTGCACGCTCTTGAAATGAATGAGATTCTGGATGTCCACCTGCTGATATAAATGTCCCATGTCAATCATGAGCACTGTCCAGGAGGCCACAGGAAGAAATGACTACCCTAGGCGGGGCTGTGGCTTTTCTCACTACTGCAATGCCAAGTTTTGTGCCTTGATATTTGCAAGCTGGTTAACCCTATGCTCCCCAATGAACAAACAGGTAAGATATGCATCTTGCATATAATATGCAACAGCCCATGCAAAGGGTTCTTTTAAAGAAAGCCTGGGAAGAAATGTCTTCCCATACGGTAGTACCTCGGGTTAAGTACTTAATTCGTTCCGGAGGTCCGTACTTAACCTGAAACTGTTCTTAACCTGAAGCACCATTTTAGCTAACGGGGCCTCCCGCTGCTGCTGCGCTGCCGGAGCGCAATTTCTGTTCTCATCCTGAAGCAAAGTTCTTAACCTGAGGTAATATTTCTGGATTAGCGGAGTCTGTTACCTGAAGCGTATGTAACCTGAAGCGTATGTAACCCGAGGTACCACTGTACTAGCAAAATGTGCAATGGTCCATAATAATGGTCCTAGGTCCAATTTCCTGGCATTTTCAGTTCAAAGAATCAGGGAGCAGGTGATGGGAAAGATCTGAGCCTGAAGCCAGGGATAGCTGCTGTAATGATTTCTGGCAGGCAAGCAAGCCCACTAAGAAGTAAGGACTCTTCAGCAGTTTTATGTATGTTTGTTTACAAAAAGACACATCCAGAGCATGGCTTCTCGCCTGCTCGAATTTACGATAATTGGTCGGTCTGACTTTTTGTCCCTCCCACAGCAGGAAGGATGCCAAACTCCTCCCTTTCCCCTCTTGCCCTTCCGTTGCCATCTGATCTTATCCAGACACCTACAATAGGGACTGAGAGGCTGACCTCCCCCCTCCCCACTTTCACTTGACACAGACTCAGACCTCTGCTTATCTGCTGATTGCCTAGCAACGCTCTGGCTGCCTTCCAACTCTTCCTCTTCTTGAGAGCTAACAGAGTTTTCCCTGGGAAGGGAGGTTGAACTGCTCTTTTTTGACTCTGTCAGCCAGGTTTCATCTGCAGAGGCAATCTTACCTAATTCCAGGCATGCCAACTTGAATAAAATATGGGGGTGGGGGCAGGTAAGCCCCACCCTGTATAATTGATTACATGATGTAGCGCATACACACCATTTGAATGGCGATGCCCATCAACTTTAGGGGTGGGGGTGGCGGCAGTGGCCCTCTCAAATATTTTATTGAGAGAGCTGAAGGGACCTCGGTCTCTAGGAGTTGGCTCCTATGCCTAATCCATATTTTCTGAAACCATATGAAATCCACTATCTTTTGAAATTTGAACACCTTCCAATTTTCCAGTGCAACTCTCCAGCCACATATTGCAATGTGTACAAAAATGCATATACTGGGGTGAAGTGTGCCTAGAAATGCATATATTAGTCAAAATAACATACAAAATGCATTATATGGGGGAAAATGGCTTCTCAGATTTGTGTGTATTAGGGGAAATGCATACTACATGCGTATATTAGGGTAAAGCCACACTAAGCTGCTGCTGAATTTTCATAAGCACTTTTTTTTTTTTAAGGGAAAGTGATGTGGAACTCTGAAGACTGGAAAAATGAAAAAGAGAAAGAAGCCAAAATTGACACATTTGGTAATTCCTACTGAAGACATCCTCTGCTCATTAAGCAGAATCTTTGGTATAAAATATGTATAACAACTGGTTTTTGGATCTAGTTCTTTAAAATATTCCTCAGTGGCTTTCTGCTATTAGATCCAACTGCTTTTAAGTGGAAGTCTGTCTCTGTGACTTGAAGAGTAGCTTCTTTTGCAAGTTTTGCAGATTTAACCCACTGGGAATTTCTGCACAACACACAGGATAATTTGGAGATAATTTGCTGTGATTTGGGCATCACATTTTTTATTCTTTATGATGCAGATACATATCATATAGTGCCTTTCATTTTTTAAAAACGTCATCAGATTATGTAAATGTTAAGTTTTATTTGTTTTTATTTTCCCTTGGAAATGTACAGTGGCAGTTTGGGTTGACAGTCACATTTACTGCTCTAAATTGTCATAGCAGGTTGACTCCACAATAAAGTTTTGTTTGACTAATACACATAGCAAGTGCCTCAGATAGAAGCTCATCATGTGCCTGGGAAACTGGAACACAAACATATGTGGGAAACTAACAGTGCTTTTTTTTCTTTAAAAAAATAAATGTTTAGGGGTATTCTCATTTTCCTACTCATATTGAAATACTGCCCCTCAACGAGGCCAAACTTAGATTCACAAAATGTTTAGGGGTAAGCGTTCCCTTGCGTCCCCCCAGAAAAAAATCACTGGACACTAATAATTTCAAAGAACACAGTTTAGAGCCAAATGCAGAACACGCTCTGGTGTGCTCCAACTATCTTTTCTGAATTTTATTCTGTTTCTCTATTCCTTGAGACACATTGCCATCTAGTGGCAATCACTGGTTGTTTTTTTGCACAATAGTGTGAGAGAGTAGGCAAGTAAATACAGTGGTCCCTCAGGTTAAGTACTTAATTTGTTCCGGAGGTCCGTTCTTAAACTGAAATTGTTCTTAACCTGAAGCACCACTTTAGCTAATGGGGCCTCCTACTGCTGCTGCACCGCAGCTGCATGATTTCTGTTCTCATTCTGAAGCAAAGTTGTTAACCCGAGGTACTATTTCTGGGTTAGTGGAGTCTGTAACCTGAAGTGTATGTAACCTGAAGCATATGTAACCTGAGGTACCACAGTATTTGAATTTCCATGGCAAAACTAACCACCTTTCCATCACTATGAGTGGTCCCTGCTGTCACAATTTATAGTGTGGGCTGATGCTACAATCATCATACGTTACAGAAAAGTAAGCCCCACTGAATTGTATAGGGATTGCTGCCTTATAAGGTTGTACACAGGACTGCAGCTTGAATTGCTTAGTCTTAAGGTGCCACGAAAGACTGTAAACAAAGGCTCCATGAATTTCCAGAGCTTTGGGAAAAGATTATTTTCTTCCCACAGCTTCCCTTCTGTGTCTTGTTTGCAGAATGTGGAATAAGGTGAAGGAATCTATCTCCAGTCTGACTGTCCCCAATTCTGATGGGTGGTGTGAATTGCAGTATAAAATTGGTGGGCAAGGAAATTATTTCTTTGTTTGAAATATTATTATTATTATTATTATTATTATTATTATTAACATTATTTATAGCCTGCTCTTCACTGAATATTTTCAATCTCAGAGCAGGGAACGTAAAGGTAAAGGTAAAGGTACCCCTGAACATTAGGTCCAGTCATGGCCGACTCTGGGGTTGCGGCGCTCATCTCGCTTTATTGGCTGAGGGAACCGGCGTACAGCTTCCAGGTCATGTGGCCAGCATGACTAAGCCGCTTCTGGCGAACCAGAGCAGCGCACATTTTAACCTGCTTTCAAACTGCTAGGTTGGCAGGAGCAGGGACCGAGCAACGGGAGCTCACGCCGTCGCGGGGATTCAAACTGCCGACCTTCTGATCGGCAAGCCCTAGGCTCTGTGGTTTAGACCACAGTGCCACCTGCATCCCCAGAGCAGGGAACAAAATAATAAAAATAAGCAGAGGAAAAAAGAACAGTATAAAACAGTGACAAAATCATATAAACAGGTCCAGGAAACAACGAAATGATAACTCTGTCATAAAGTAAACAAGCAAATCTAGAATGTAATTTTTTTTTTTTTTAAATCAAGATTTTCCCATTTAACGAAACACTTAGGTAGAAACCAACGTAAGACATTCACACAGATGAAACCACCAATGGCCTTAGCAACCGTTCCCAGCCTGGTTTTCCCTTAAGGCAGCCCACTCACTTGATGTCAGGGACTGGCAGGGCTATAATAAGTGTGTGCCGGAGGCAAGGGGGCTGGAGACTGACTTGAGAGCCAGAACCAGTGATTTGTGGGCTTCAGTGCCACCCCAGAGGCAGGAGCCAGGGCAAGGGGAGAGGTCAGAGCTGTCAGGGATGGGGGCACAGGACATGTTAGAGAAGCTGGAAGAGACTGATCAGGTCAGAGGAGGGTTGGGAGAAGCTAATGGGGGGGTGGGACTCCCAAGGCAATCTGTCATTGACTTTCAATTCTGCTCTACAGCGCCGTCTGGTGTCACATTTTTATAGCACATTTTTAAAGTTATAAATTGACCTGTGTAGCTGAGTCTTGGGTTGCGCCAGCCATAATGAAACATTAAACATTAAAAATAACTTCTCTATACAGGGCTGCCTTCAGATGTCTTCTAAAGGTTGTATAGTTACATACCTTGTTGGCTTGTGAGTTGCTCAACTCCATACCCTCCAACATTTATCTGATGAAAATAGGGATGTCCTAAGGAAAAGCAGGACATTCCTTGACAGATTAGAGAACTGGGCCAAAACAAACAAGATGAACTTTAACAGGGAGAAATGTAAAGTATTGCACTTGGGCAAAAAAAAATGAGAGGCACAAATACAAGATGGGTGACACCTGGCTTGAGAGCAGTACATGTGAAAAGGATCTAGGAGTCTTGGTTGACCACAAACTTGACATGAGCCAACAGTGTAACGCGGCAGCTAAAAAAGCCAATGCAATTCTGGGCTGCAGCAATAGGAGTATAGCATCTAGATCAAGGGAAGTAATAGTGCCACTGTATTCTGCTCTGGTCAGACCTCACCTGGAGTACTGTGTCCAGTTCTGGGCACCACAGTTCAAGAAGGACACTGACAAACTGGAACATGTCCAGAGGAGGGCAACCAAAATGGTCAAAGGCCTGGAAACGATGCCTTATGAGGAACGGCTAAGGGAGCTGGGCATGTTTAGCCTGGAGAAGAGGAGGTTAAGGGGTGATATGATAGCCATGTTCAAATATATAAAAGGATGTCATATAGAGGAGGGAGAAAGGTTGTTTTCTGCTGCTCCAGAGAAGAGGACACGGAGCAATGGATCCAAACTACAAGAAAGAAGATTCCACCTAAACATTAGGAAGAACTTCCTGACAGTAAGAGCTGTTCGACAGTGGAATTTGCTGCCAAGGAGTGTGGTGGAGTCTCCTTCTTTGGAGGTCTTTAAGCAGAGGCTTGACAACCATACGTCAGGAGTGCTCTGATGGTGTTTCCTGCTTGGCAGGGGGTTGGACTCGATGGCCCTTGTGGTCTCTTCCAACTCTATGATTCTAGGTCTAGGGATCAAATAAGAAACCGGGATGGCTTCTGTAAATCCGGGACTGTCCCTGGAAAAATAGGGACGCTTGGAGGCTCTGTTCTTTTTCCTGTGTTGTTTCCTCTACTGGATTTGAAGCACCTGAAGAGGGAGGGGGAAACCATCATTTTTTTCTGCAGGGGTCACCATGGTTGTTTCTGCTGGACACAAATACAGGTGATTTCAAAAGGAACATAGGAAGCTGCCTGATACCTGATCAGACCATTGTTCCAACTAGCTCAGCCTCAGCACGGACTGGCAATGTTTCTCCGTGGTATCAGTCAGGGAGACTTTCCCAGTCCTACCAGGAGATACCAAGAATTGAACTTGAGGCATTCTTCCTGCAAAGCAGAACCAGGACCATACAGCAAAAGGCTTTGCAGACAGGAAGAAAGCACTGTCAACAAGAAGGCTCAAGTCAAATAGCAACGATCGCCATTTGACAGGCATGTGAGAGAACCGAGCCAGAAATTACAAATCTGGCACAAGCCATAAAAATATATAATAATGATGTCAATATGTAGAAACTGGAAAGACCGTAGATGGAAGCTCATTAGCCTCCCTCAATCCATCAGGTTAATGAAGAACATGGTCCATAAAATATGCACTTGCCTGCTGCTATAAAACACAACCCTCCGATGTTTCCAGCTAATAGAATTATTTTTCACAATGCAAATTAATTGCTGTAATTCTTCATCTGTCTCTAGAAACAAGCCAATGAGTTGTTATGGATTAGTAAGCAAACCCGTCCGAGTTCAGTCCTTTCGAAAGCATCCCTCGGTAAGTCCACCTCTCTCCTTTCCACTGACAGCTATCAATCCTGGTGGGGTTCTTGACTCAACTCTGGCAAGGAGTATTCCTGTGGAAACTGCACATGACGTCTTTGTAGGAGTGCAAATATCCAGAGTGTGGGGTCAGGTGGGATTACTATGAGGAATTATAAAATATGCATCAAGCCATTGTGTCCACAATGAATGCATTGTGTTGACTGGGTTTGAGACATTGACAATAATTTATTATCAAATCCCACAACCCTCTGCATCTCTGGCCATTTCCTCTACTGTCCATTTCTCTTGCTTGACAAGTCACGTACTGCAGGCAGGCATGCTGGGTCATCAAAGACAATGGGCAGTTTCTTTGATGTAGCCTTTCTGATATGTTAATCTTAGGATGTTAATCTTAGGGCCAGGAAACAGCTCTCACATAAAGGTGATAATGATCGCTGTCCTCCTGGCCATCCTTCTTATCATGTGTATTGATTGTTTATGACCTCCGGGGTTGCTGAATGCACTCTTTTGTAGTTTTCATTCATTTACTCCAAAAGTATGCATGTTTAACTAGTGTTTGTAGTTTAACTTTGTTCCCACGTGGGGTTTGTTGAAATGCTCAGAAGAAATCTGATTGGTTCTTAGAACACTCTGTAAAAAGTTCTTTTGTGAATAAAACGACCTGGGCTGAGGGGTGGAGGGATGCAGAGATTATTATATGCACCCTTCCCAGAGTTTTGCTGGTTCAAGCCTCTGTGTGTATTCTTATTAATCAGAGTTCAATCCTTCCTTTACTTTGGGAACGCCTCACGTCTTATTCAGAGCCACCCCTCTGGCTCATGAGAAAATATGCTGCCTGTATATTTCTGAGAGAGTGACTTGCTCTGTGGCTGCATCCACACCATACATATAGCATCCCAGGAACTCTAGCTTACCCTGTAGCAAGGTTTTTGGTGGGGGTAATTAGAATTAGATCTATTATTTGATTATTGATGTAACCCCCCCAAATGTATTTTCTATAGTTATGTTTCCACCTCTATCTTCAGTACATTTTATTTTATTTTATTGCTATGGCTAGTGGCTGATGCAAATAAAGATTCTTCTTCTCTAGCTTACCCCCAAAGCTACAATTCCTGGCACCCTCGACAAACTACACTTCCCAGGTGTATTTTTTTTTTGGGGGGGGGAGTACTGTACTTTAAATATGCTTTAAGTGTACGGCGTGTACACAATTCCTTCTTGTCAGCAGAGATCTTCCAGGAAGACCCACCTGAATGTCGTGCCACTGGGAACTGTACGCTTGGTGATACAGTGGATTCCTGGCTCGGGAAAGACCTCCTGCCTAAATTTCAGTGGACATCCACACTGCTGGCCTTCAGCTGAAAAAACATAAAATCTGGCTGTTTTGTTCAGGCCTTTTTTTTTTTTAATATACTTTTCAGGTTTTACACTTCACTAATTTTACCATCATTTTAAAATTTCAAAACTTGACTTCCTTCCCCCCTCTTTCGGCATTTCCTTAAATTTAAACCTTCTGCATATTCAAATTAACTTAATTTGCTCATTTATTCTTCTTTAAATATACACTCTTATCAAACTGCAGCCTATTACAATAATCCTGCCAGTGTTCTTATCTGTTTACAATTTATCTGTAAATATTCAATGAACCATTTCCATTCTTTTGTTTAAAAAACTTGTCATCTTTGATTTCTTATTCTTTTGGTAAGTTTTGCCATTTCTGCATATTCCATAAGTTTTTGCATCAATTCTTCCTTTGCTGGGACTTCTGCTTCTTCCCATTGTTTTGTTCAGGCCTTTGGGCGCCCTTTGCAGCCGTCATTTGATACTACGACTAAATATGCTTTGTATTCCTCAAGGATACATGTTTTAAACTGTGAGGACTTTGTTCTTTTATTCATGACTCCCCCGGGGATCCAAGGCCGCAGGGCGAGGTATAAATAGCTTAAGCAAAACAAAAGAAAGCAAGAAAGCAAGAAAGCAGATCTCCTCAGGAAACTGAATTCTGGGCCACAGGTACTGTCAGGGCAGGGCTCTGAAGGCAGAAGGCCAGGCCCCTACTCAGTGCCGGATTTCCATATACAGTGATGCCCTGCAAGACGAATGCCTCGCAAGACGAAAAACTCGCTAGACGAAAGAGTTTTCCGTTTTTTGAGTCGTTCTGCAAGACGAATTTCCCTATGGACTTGCTTCGCAAGACAAAACGTCTTGCGAGTTCTTGCGAGTTTGTTTCCTTTTTCTTAAAGCCGCTAAGCCGTTAATAGCCGCTAAGCCGCTAAGCCGTTAATAGCCGCTAAGCCACTAAGCCGCTAAGCCGCTAATAGCCATGCTTCGCAAGACGAAAAAACCGCAAGACGAAGAGACTCGCAGAATGGATTAATTTCGTCTTGCGAGGCACCACTGCAAGCTAAACAAGCTATAGTTTTTATTTATTTATTATTTAAAGGGGGGGGGACCCTGGATGTACGTTTCCAAAATATAAGATAAAAAATAAAATAAAACCTACATATAGCAACAGTGTTTTGTTTTGTTTTGTAGGCTCCTATGATGTAAGCAATGGCCCCGCCTGCTAGCCTGCTCCCTTTTTTTAAAAAATAAATTTTTATTGGTTTTCCATACAATTGTACATTTTTATCCAAATTTCAACAAATTGTCTCTTTCTGAACTTCCTTCAGCGTCTCTGAGAATCATCCATATTTTATCTTTAATTACACATTCCCTTCTTTCGTATTGCCATTAAACTTCCCTTCCCCCACTATTTCATATTAACAATACTTCTCGATTTTCACAGTGCCTCTTGAAATCCCACTAATGTTGTGTTCACATCACATACATTTTTCAGATAATCTACAAACTTTCCCCAGTCTTCGATGAACTTTTGGTCTTTGGTATATCTAATTTTCCCAGTTAATTTGTCCAGTTCTGCGTAATCTATCAGTTTCAGTCTCCATTCCTCTATCGTCGGTATTTCCTCTTGTTTCCATTTCTAGGCCAACAATATTCTGGCTGCCGTTACTGCATACTGAAAGAGTTTACAGTCTTTTCTTCTTATTTCTTTTCCTAAAATCCCTAAAAGAAAAGCCTCCGGTTTTTTTACAAAAGTATCAACCCAAGGAAGGCTACAGGGCCAGATGGGGTAGCTGGAAGGGTATTGAGAGACTGTGCAGATCAACTAGCAGGAGTTTTCACTGGGATTTTAAATCGATCCCTAGCCCAGGCTATTGTTCCATCCTGCCTAAAGTCCTCAATAATAATAATAATAATAATAATAATAATAATTTATTATTTATACCCCGCCCATCTGGCTGGGCTTCCCCGGCCACTCTGGGTGGCTTCCAAAAGAATATTAAAATACTATAATACATCAAACATTAAAAGCTTCCCGAAACAGGGCTGCCTTCAGATGTCTTCTAAAAGCCTGGTAGTTGTTGTTCTCTTTGACATCTGGTGGGGGGTGTTCCACAGGGAAGGCGCCACTACCGAGAAGGCCCTCTGCCTGGTTCCCTGTAACTTGGCTTCTCGCAGTGAGGGAACCGCCAGAAGGCCCTCAGTGCTGGACCTCAGTGTCCGGGTAGAACGATGGGGGTGGAGACGCTCCTTCAGATATACTGGACCAAGGCCGTTTAGGGCTTTAAAGGTCAGCACCAACACTTTGAATTGTGCTCGGAAACGTACTGGGAGCCAATGTAGGTCTTTCAAGACCGGTGTTATGTGGTCTCTGCGGCCGCTCCCAGTCACCAGTCTAGCTGCCGCGTTCTGGATTAGTTGTAGTTTCCGGGTCACCTTCAAAGGTAGCCCCACGTAGAGCGCATTGCAGTAATCCAAGCGGGAGATAACCAGAGCATGCACCACTCTGGCGTTATTATCGTTCCAATAGCAAAAAAATCTAACCCGGAAGATCTGAATGATTTTCGTCCAGTAGCACTCACACCTATAATCATGAAGTGCTTTGAAAAGCTGGTACGAAATTATGTCATTGCCTGCCTACCAGAGGGACTGGACACATTCCAATTTGCTTATAAAATGAAAAGATCGACAGAGGACGCTGTTGCGATTGCCCTCCATGCCGTCCTTGCACATTTGGAGGAGCGGGGGGGTTATGCCAGACTGCTTTTTTTAGATTTCAACTCAGCATTTAATACCATTCTACCACAATGTCTGATGTCTAAACTGGAAGATCTGGGGCTTCCGTTATCACTTTGTGGGTGGATATTGGACTTTTTGTCAGACCACCCCCAGAGGGTTCGGTTGGGCCCTTATACCTCTAATATGCTTAAGACTAACACAGGAACACCACAGGGATGCGTACTCAGTCCGCTCCTTTATATTCTCTACACGTACGATTGTGTCGCTACTCACCCTAATAACAGGGTTGTTAAATTTGCAGATGACACAACCGTGATTGGGCTCATCCCTGAAAGGGAGGGTGAAACGGATTATAGAGATGAGGTGGAGCGGCTGACAGAGTGGTGCAGAGCTAACAACTTGCTCATAAATACAAGGAAGACAAAGGAGCTTGTGGTGGACTTCAGGAGACAGAAGAGCAACGTCCAGCCACTTTTGATTGATGGGGTCTGTGTGGAGAGGGTAACAACGTTCAGATTTTTGGGCTTGGAATTACAAGAGAATCTGTCCTGGAGTGTCAACACAAGGGGGCTTGTGAAGAAGGCGCAGCAGAGACTGTACTTTTTGAGAATACTAAGGAAAAACCATCTTCCGCAGAAACTGCTGCTTGCCTTCTATCACTGTGCCATTGAGAGCGTGCTTACTTATGGCTTATGTGTGTGGTACGGAAGCTGTACTACCCAGGACAGGATGGGGTTGTGCAGGGTTGTTAAGGCAGCAGAGAGCATTGTTGGCTGCCCACTCTCCACCTTAGAGCAGATTTATGCCACAAGGTGCCATAGGAAGGCACTGGACATAGTAAAAGATCCATCGCATCCTGGTCACTGTCTCTTCGAGCTTTTGCCGTCGGGACGGAGATACAGGACGATGAAGACAAGAACGAGCCGTCTTAAGAACAGCTTCTTCTCCAGAGCGATCTCCGCCCTGAATGGGAAGCCCAGACTTTGAAAGTCATCTAATCTCCCTTGCTGTATTATACTGTATTGTTTAATTAGTGTTTTTATGGAGCAGTCAAGTAATTTCGTTGTCCCCGAAGGGGGCAATGACAATAAAGATATTATTATTATTATTATTATTATTATTATTATTATTATTATATCTTAACATCTTTTTCATTTCATTGTATATCATTTCCCAAAAGCTTTTCACTTTCTTACATTCCCACCACACATGAAAGAATGTTCCCTCTTTTTCTTTACATTTCCAACATTTGTTGCACGTCTTATACATCTTTGCTAACTTTACTGGTGTAATGTACCATCTGTAAAACATTTTCATAACATTTTCTTTCAGTGCCGTACATGCAGTAAATTTTATATTCTCTTTCCACAGTTTTTCCCACTCATCGAAATGTATATTGTACCCAAAATCTTTGGCCCATTGTATCATTACCGATTTAACCTCTTCGTCTTTCGTATACCATTCCAACAATATCTTGTACATTTTTGACAAAGTTTTACAATCATTGTTTATTATATCTACCTGAAATTTAGAATCTTTTTCTACATAACCTTTTTCTTTTAAATCTTTTTTAAACATTTCATTTACTTGAAAAAAATGCAACCAATCATATACATGATCTTTCACTTGTTCATATGGTTTCAATTTCCATTTTCCTCCTTCTTTAATTACCAATTCTCCGTATGTACTCCATTTACCTCTCATATTAATTTTCTTAACACTCATAACCTCTAACGGAGAAAGCCAATGTGGGATTTTTGGTTCCAATATATTTTTATATCTATCCCATATTTCTATTAAAGAACTCCTGAAAATGTGGCATCCAAATCCTTTATGAACTTTCTTCTTGTCACACCATAGATACGCATGCCAGCCAAATCTGTTATCAAAACCTTCAAGGTCTAATAGCTCCTTATTTTCTAGTTTAATCCATTCTTTTAACCAACATAGGCAAGCTGCTTCATAATATAGTTTCAAATCTGGCAGGGCGAAGCCACCTCTTTCTTTTGCATCTGTCAATAACTTAAATTTTATTCTTGGCTTCTTCCCCTGCCAGATATACCTTGAAATCCCTCTTTGCCATTCTTTAAAGATTCCTATACCCTTTATAATGGGTATAGTCTGAAATAAAAATAACATCTTTGGCAGCACGCTCATCTTTATCGTAGAGATTCTTCCCCAGAAAGATAATTTCATTCTACCCCACACCTCCAGGTCGTTCTTTATTCCCTTCCAAACCGGTATGTAGTTATTTTGATATAAATAAATATTTTTAGACGTTAACCAAATTCCCAAATATTTTACCTTTTTCACCACCTCTATCTCTGTTTGTTGCTGCATTATTTCAATCTTACTTTGTTCCATGTTTTTTACAATCATTTTGGTCTTATTCTTATTCAGTCTAAATCTGGCTACCCTTCCAAATTGTTCCATCTCCTCCAATACCTCTTTTACACTTTCTATTGGTTCTTCAATAGTCATTACCAAATCGTCGGCAAAGGCTTTAACTTTGTATTCATTCTGCCCTACTGTCACCCCTTTTATTTGTTTGTTTTGTCTAATCGCATTTAAGAAGACTTCCAGAACCGTTATGAATAACAATGGCGAAAGTGGACAACCTTGTCTTGTTCCTTTGGATATTTTTATATCTTCAGTAATTACGCTGTTAACTATCAATTTTGCTCTCTGTTCTGTATAGATTGCCTTTATACCATTGAAAAATTCTTTCCCCACCTCCATATATTCTAAGTTTTTTAACATAAACTCCCATATAATATTATCAAAGGCCTTTTCAGCATCCACAAACATTAAAATTGCTTGTTTATCATTCCTAGCAGTCAGATATTCTAAGACATTAATTATATTTCTTATATTATCTTTCATTTGTCTGCCTGGTAGGAAACCTGCTTGATCTTTATGTACAAGTCTTGTTAGTATCTTTTTCAGCCTCTTCGCTAAAATTCCCGCGAAAATCTTATAGTCCGTATTCAATAGTGAAATAGGCCTATAATTTTTAACTTGAGTTAAATCCGAATCTTGTTTTGGGATCAATGTAATATATGCTTCTTTCCATGTTTCTGGAATGTCTCTTTCTTTTAAAATATTATTCATAACTTCTATTAGAGGGATCATCAACACGTCTTTCATTTCTTTGTAATAACTTGATGTAAATCCATCAGGTCCCGGTGCTTTCCCTCTCGTCAACTCTTTTATCACCTCTTTTACTTCTTCTTTTCCTATTGGGGCATTCAGCTGGTCTTTTTGTTCTGTCGGGATCTTCTGCACCATTTTATCTCTTAAATATCTTTCTATTTTCTTCATATTGTTCCTTTCTTTATTTCTATATAATTGTCTGTAAAAGTCCAAGAATCCTTTCCTGATTTCTTTCGGATTAACTGTCTCTTCACCATTTATCCTGATTTTATTGATTGTGCTCTGCTCCTTTCTCTTTTTAAGTTGCCACGCAAGCCATTTTCCTGATTTGTTTGCGAACTCAAAGTTTTTCTGCCTTAACCTTTTAATATTCCATTCAACTTCCTTATTTATTATCATTGCAAATTGGGTTTGAAGGGTCTTAATTTCTTGCTTGATTTTTAAATTATTTGGCTTTTTGATCAATTTTTGCTCATTGTCCATAATCTGCTTTAAAATTTCTTTTTTCCTTTTTTCCTTGTTTTTGTTCTTCAATGAGTTCTGCTGGATAAAAAATCCTCTCATAACTGCTTTGCTTGTGTCCCAAACTATATTCATCTTGGTACCTTTATTAGTATTATCCATGAAATATTCGGATAATTTCTTTTGTGCTTTTTCTACGGTCTTCTGGTCATCCAACAAATAGTCATTTATTCTCCATCTAAAGGTTCTTTCTTCAAAGCCTTTTAATTCCATTATTATTGGGTTGTGATCTGAAATTACTTTGGCTTGTATTTCAATTTGTTGGATTCTTGGAGTCAATTCATTCGATACCCATATTTGATCTATTCTTGACATTGACTGATTCAGTTCTGAATAGTAAGTAAATTGTTTCTCCAATGGGTGTCTAAGTCTCCAAATATCAATCAGGTTATAATTCTTAGTCATCATAAAAAATGTCTTAGGCAATTTCCCTTCTTTATTCTTTACATCCCTTAGTCTGTCCATTTCCAATGAAACCACCCCGTTCATGTCTCCCATTATTATAATTTTCTGATCCATATATTCAAATAGTTTTTCTTCCAATACTTTATAGAAATCAGTTTTGTTTCCATTTGGTGCATAGATCCTGACAATTATTGCTAGCCTGCTCCCTAAAATATCACTGGTTTGCTCATTTCAACTATTTGTTGTTGTTGTTTAGTTGTGTCCGACTCTTTGGGACTCCATGGACCAGAGCATGCCAGGCACTCCCGTCTTCCACTGCCTCCCGCAGTTTGGTCAAACTCATGTTGGTAGCTTCAAGAACACTGCCCAACCATCTCGTCCTCTGTCGTCCCCTTCTCCTTGTGCCCTCCATCTTTCCCAACATCAGGGTCTTTTCCAGGGAGTCTTCTCTTCTCATGAGGTGGCCAAAGTATTGGAGCCTCAGCTTCAGGATCTGTCCTTCCAGTGAGCACTCAGGGCTGATTTCCTTCAGAATGGATAGGTTTGATCTTCTTGCAGTCCATGGGACTCTCAAGAGTCTCCTCCAGCACCATGATTCAAAAGCATTAATTCTTCGGTGATCAGCCTTCTTTATGGTCCAGCTCTCACTTCTGTACATCACTACTGGGAAAACCATAGCTTTAGCTATACGGACCTTTGTTGGCAATTACTTTAACAAAATACATACTGTATTTGGTTATGTACAAATGGCTCTAGATACCTATTAGGTTCATAAATTACCATATAGCATATGTTCAACAAAAAAAAAAAACCAGCGACAATTTGTTGTTGACAAAGGACAGCTGGACATACATAAAGGGCCCCATTGCCTTCAGTACCTTAGGGCCTCATCAAACCTAAATCTGGCCCTGGTCCTACTTGGCAGAATGAGGAGGCCCTCAAAATGTGTTAGGACATGCATGCCACATTTTGAAATAAAGTGAAGAAATGGACAATACCACCTCTAAAGAGTCTGTCCCCGTCCCCCTCCGCCAGCTGACTGTTAAGGTCTTGCCACCTGTCCTGTATAACACAGGACAACGTCCTGTTTTGATACAGTTTTGCCTTGTAATGATCTCTCCCAGCTATTGACAAAAAGAAGAGGAGAAGCAGAGGATTTCTTGCTCGAGAAGAAAGGAGGTCTTCAGTCCTTGTGAGGAAAAAAAAGCTGAACCGGACACCAGGAATATGTTCAGCAGGCATCTGATGTTGGGATAAAGGAGTCAGGCATATGTGAGTTCTCTGGTGCTTTGTGTACGTTTGCAGGATTAGGTACTTTGGTCTATACAGTATACAGTTATAATCCCAAGCGGAGCCATTCTGGTTATCTGAATCTGAATTCAGAATAGGAAGAGGCTATTCTGCGAAACCTGTAACCCTCCTGGTGTTGCTGGAGAACAGCTGCCATCACAGCTAGCCAACATGGTCCCTGGTGTGTGTTATTATTTGTTAAGTTGTGGGTGAACATATCAGACAACACAGCGATTCTCCAAACAGCTCTTGTTTATTCACAGGTCAGAACTGAACTGAACTGAAGGGTTCAGCCAGCCTGCTTATATAGAGCTCCAGTACAACGTAACTGTAACAACTTTCTGTAACTATCCAATCACTGAACGTCACTTTCGATCCCTTATTTGCATATGTGGACCTGAACTATCTACAGTATCCCCCTGCTGGCCCAGGGTGAGAACCTCAGTACATAACATTATTATTATTATTAGAATTTATATACCGTCCTATACCTGGAGGTCTCAGGGCGGTTCACAGATGGGAGGGTTGCCAAGAGGAAGGTACTGATGTACAGTGCCCACAGCCAGAACTGTCTTTCAAAACATAAGGAAGTTTCTAGCTCTCCTTGAAAGAGAGGAAAGAAGCAAAATGTTCTGGTATCATCTAAGCAATTTCTGTGAGATGAACTAACCTGGCTGCTTTCACCTTTCAGTGTTTTTGAGCAGGGAGTCAGAGCTGTGGTTGACAAGTGAGTTGTTTAGAAATCAGAATATAGGAATCCCTGGGCTCCTAAAGAGCTGCTGTTTCCCCCTCCTATTCCGCCAACATTTCTTTCCTGCTTCTGTCTCACTTTTCTAGTCCAGGGAGTCCCCGTGGATTCACCTTCCTTTTCCCCCTAGTAACCAGGATGAATCTTTCTGGTGGTGGGTTTGTCAGAGATCAGGTACTCCCTAGAAGTTATTTTCTGCAAATGCTACTACACAATAAGTGCAGGTGGAACTTAATGAATCCTCAGTCTCCCAAATGGCAAATGCAAACGGTGAAAACTTTGCAAAGTGGCTTAGGCAGGTCTCCTGCAAGAGCTAAAGATCAGGCACGTGCAAAGAATTCACTGCATAGTTAACTTAACGTACAATGGTATACAGCACGTCTGCCTCATTTGTGTTTAATGAGGCTTAGTCCCAGGTAGGTGGGTACAGGATTTTGTATAGGGCTGGCTTTGTGGGGAAAGCAGGGTTCTTCTGCCACAACTGGGTATTCCAAGGAGAAATTCAACAGGTTCAGTCTTTTCTAGTATGGAAACAGAATCACAGGGAATGCTTTATCCTTCTCATTCTATCTGTCAGACATTTTAGTATGTTTGTGGCCACTGATTAATTTTGTGGACCCTCCAAACTTCCTGCAATAGAGGACAGACATTTGCATACGGCACAAAATATATGCGAAGCTTATGCAAATCTGTCTCCTCCTTTGCAGGTGGATTTGGAGGGCCCAATCCACAGGCAGAGCCAAGGCACCAGAAAATTCCTGGCCACAGGTTGTCCATCTCTGCAGCGCTCCTGAAAGCCATTCAAACCTATTTAGAAATACTGGCTTAACAGTCTTAGGCCTTTCATCAGTTCAGCGTTTTTGCAAGTCGGCAACAATTGCTGTGCAAATGACGTGTGAAACATTGTCGAAAATGGAGAGCACATTAGGATGGGGGCTCAATATTAATCTTGCAGACAGTGTGTGTAATAGCAAAGGATTTGAACTGTAAACTGAGCTGGGAGCTGAGGCAGATGATTCTATTTAAAGGCTTTAGTTTTCCTTGTTTCTCCTTTCTTCCTCATTTGCAGTGACATTTCTAATTGCACTATTTGCTCTCAACTTGTCTGATGTATCTTATTATATGCTTTAATGATTTTTATACCCCAAATTGTTAACTCCCGTAGAATAATATCGGCAATATTTTACTCCCGAGAACATTACCCATGGCTGCTTAGTCGTGAGTGGAAATCTTGCATTTAAAAAAGATTAATTCACTTGGGGACATTAACGGCATCTGCCTTTAGAATAATTTAAGTCATGTAATGCTATAAGTATAGTTTTTGTGATGAGTAGGGATGAGAATCACATAATCATAGAATTGCAGAGTCATCTAGTCCAACCCTCCACAATGCAGGAATCTCAACTAAAGCATCCATGACTTCTGCTTAAAAACCTCCAGTAGAGTCCAAAGGATCTTGCTGGATGCCAGAGGATGCCCAGTGAAGATGATTCCAGACCTGGGTGGGAGGCTGTTCATGCAATGATCCTGTGGATAGCTCAGTTGGTAGAGCATGAAACTCTTAATCTCAGGGTTGTGGGTTTGAGCCCCATGTTGGGCAGAAATTTCCTGCATTGCAGGGGGTCGGACTAGATGACCCTCGTGGTCTCTTCCAACTCTGCAATTCTATGATTCTATGCAACTCCTGTGCAATGTCTAGCTCAGCCCTCATGTCTTTCCATAGCCTGCCGCCAGACAGCCTTTTAGCTGGATTTCCCAAGGAATTGAAATTGGGACCCTTCAAGGGATGTGGGTGATGCTGTGGTCTAAACCACTGAGCCTCTTGGGCTTGCCGATCAGAAGGTTGGTGGTTTGAATCCCTGCAACGGGGTGAGCTCCTGTTGCTCTCTCCCAGCTCCTGCCAACCTAGCAGTTCGGAATCATGCCAGTGCAAGTAGATAAATAGGTACTGCTGCGGCAGGAAGGTAAACAGCATTTCCGTGCGCTCTGGCTTCCATCACGGTGTTCCATTGCACCAGAAGCGGTTTAGTCATGCTGGCCACATGACCCGGAAAGCTGTCTGCGGGCAGACGCCGGCTCCCTTGGCCTGAAAGCAAGATGAGCACCGCAACCTCATAGTCGCCTTTGACTGCACTTAACCGTCCAGGGGTCCTTTACCTTTTTACATACCTCATACCCCAAGAGCGGTATAGCAAATCTCCTGTGTTCTCTGCCCGTTAAACCGCACAACTTGGAGTGGATTGGAAGGAGGCTTGTTTGCCCTGTTCAAGAGGCATCTGAGTGCTCTGCAAACAACTCATCAGGCTGCCTTGTTCATTTCAGTGAAAGGAGCTAATCTGTGTGCACGTGGATTTGAACAACAGGATGTTCTCCCTCCGTGTGTTTGTGTGTGTGAAAGAGAAAGAGAGAGAATCACAGCTTTGAATCACATCCACACCATATACAGCAGTACAGTCATTTTGTTGTTGTTTAGTCATTTAGTCATGTCCGACTCTTCGTGACCCCATGGACCAGAGCACGCCAGGCACTCCTGACTTCCACTCCCTCCCGCAGTTTGGTCAAACCAACGTTCATAGCTTCAAGAACACTGTCCAACCATCTCGTCCTCTGTTGTCCCCTTCTGCTTGTGCCCTCCATCTTTCCCAACATCAGGGTCTTTTCCAGGGAGTCTTCTCTTCTCATGAGGTGGCCAGAGTATTGGAGCCTCAGCTGGTTAAAGTCGCTTCAGGTTGAGCATTTTGAAGTTACGCTGCGTGGCGACCCAGAAGTAACAGAACGTGCTACTTCCGGGTTTCGCCGCTCGCGCATGCGCAGACGCTCAAAATGACGCCACGCGCATGGGCAGAAGCGGCAAATTGTGACCTGCAGATGCGGGTTGGGTTCTCCTCTGGATGCAAACAGGGCTCCGGAACGGATCCCGTTCGCATCCAGAGGTACCACTGTACCTCTACTTACGGACACGATCTGTTCCGGGGTGCTGTTTGCACCCCAAAAAGTCCGTAAGTAAAGCGCGGCTTCTGCGCGTGCGCGTGACACAGTAGAGCACTCCTGCGCATGTGTGAAGTGCGCAGAATACTTCTGCACGTGTGGCGAAACGTGGAAGTATACACTTCTGGGTTTGCCACGTTCGCAACCCGAAAATCCACAACATGAACCTAACGCAACTAGAGGTATGACTGTATAGCATATATAAGATAGCATGTGGCTTCCCCCCCAAAGAATCCTGGGAGCTGTAGTTCACTAAGGATGCTGGGAATTGTAGCATTTGAGGGGTGAGCTCAGTGCTTTTTTTCTGGGGGGGGGGACGCATACCCCTAAACATTTTGTGAATCCCAATTTGAACTATAAAATCACTATGGTGATTTTCTTGAGTGAAAATGAGAGTACCCCTAAATTTTTTTTTTTAGTAAAAAAGCACTGGGTGAACTACATTTCCTAGGATTCTTTTGGGGGTTGAAGTGTTTTTTAATGTGGGTTAAACATATGTGGGCCTATATCTTTATTTCTCAAGCGACTGCAGGCTTCCAGTGACTGCCCAGCACCCAAAGCCTGCATATTGTGGGGTCATTTGACAGAGAAGCATTGTTCAATTGTCAATGCCATTGACAGTTTGTAATCTGTGCAGTCCCCTAAAGGGAGGCTTTTCTGTTATCTTGTTGAAGCCATGCCTAGTACTTTCTCTGGTTTATTGTTTTGCCGTTGCCTATAGATATGCCAGTTTCCTTTCTAGATCAGTTGCCAAATGACTATGCCACAATTGGTGAATGTCTATTCTGAAAACGTAAAAGGAATTGGAACAAGAAAAATAGAGTAGCATATTATTGTCTACATCATCGTTTTTACAGCCTCTGAACTCTTGTTTGTGCTTTTATTGTCCCTTTATGTGCCTATCTTCAAGGATGTATCATTGATCTTTTGAAGAGGGGGAACCCCATTTGGAATTCTGCTATCATCCTTTTATTGTGCTTTCAGGTACCAACTAGGGATCTTCCATGGTCCTTGTTCCCTGAGCACTGGGAAGGGGCGATTTGATTCAGTTTGCATTTAAAGGCAAACTCACCAAATTTTCCCTTTCCGAAACAATATGCGAACCAAAGCACAGCCAGCCTGTGAAAATTGCACTTCCCTGTATTCTGCAATGCAAGGTATGCAGCCATGCAATCTCCAGCCATGCAAGGTATGCAGAAATGTACAAATTAGGGTAAAGTGTGCAGAACAATACATATATTAATAAAATAACACAAAAATGTATTAATTCAAAAATGCATTAAAATTTATTTCCAAATTTTGTTTATTAGGCAAAAATTTCATACAAAAATGTGTCTATTAGGAGAAATTTGCAGTAAGATGCCGACAGATTTCCATCACGATGTATTTATTTATATTTTAAATAAATTGATGCGAAAAAGTAGAGAACTGATCTTAAGAGTGGTGAGAGCCAGTGTGGTGTAGTGGTTAAGAGTGGTAGACTCGTAATCTGGTGAATTGGGTTTGCGTCTCCACTCCTCCACATGCAGCTGCTGGGTGGCCTTGGGCTAGTCACACTTCTCTGAAGTCTCTCAGCCCCACTCACCTCACAGAGTGTTTGTTGTCGGGGAGGAAGGAAAAGGAGAATGTTAGCTGCTTGGAGACTTCTTCCGGTAGTGATTAAGCGGGATATCAAATCCAAACTCTTATTCTTCTTCTGGGAAAATACGAGAAACTGAGATGGACAAAAACTAACATAGATATACCTCTCCTTACTGGGAAGCTGAAGGCAATTTTTTATGGCAGGCTTCACCAACCTGGTGCTCTCCAAATGCTATGGGCTACAACTCCAGCCAACATACCTGTACTGCCTGAGGGCTGATGGGAGTTGTAGTTCAAAACTTGGCACTTGTGGCACATTGCTTTGCATGGGACAGGCCTCCCAATGGGCATTCTTACCCACATTCCACAGGTTAATAGCTTTTAGCGCATAAGTAGAGCTGGATCGAGGTCTCTTGTGTAATCTAGATCCACCTACCCCACAGAAGGCTACCTGAATCCACCCAGGGGAATTCAAGAGACAAAAATGGAGCCTTTTGGTAAATATGCTTCGTTGTTCCAGTCCTGTCTTTTGAATGGTAAATACATAAAAGATAATAAAGGGAAGAGGGGAAGATGCTGCTGCTGTAATTAAGTCTGGCAGAGTCTGGCTAAAATCACAAAGGGAATTCTAACTCCTCTGGATACAGAACTTGTTTTATTCACACTTCCTAGCTTTTATGGGGGGAAGGCACTACAGTGGTACCTCGGGTTACATACGCTTCAGGTTACAGACTCTGCTAACCCAGAAATAGTGCTTCAGGTTAAGAACTTTGCTTCAGGATGAGAACAGAAATCGTGCTCTGGCAGCGTGGCGGCAGCGGGAGGCCCCATTAGCTAAAGTGGTGCTTCAGGTTAAGAACAGTTTCAGGTTAAGAACAGACCTCCGGAACGAATTAAGTACTTAACCCAAGGTACCACTGTATTAAGATTAAATCAGCACCATAGAGTTTGGATCTCTCTCTCCCTTACCTTTTTTTTTTTAAAGCAACCAGTGCTTTTTCCCCTCTAAAAAATGTTTAGGCGTACTCTCATTTTCCTACTCATATTGAAATACTGCTCCTCAATGAGGCCAAACTTATATTCACAAAATGTTTAGAGGTATTTACACCCCTGCACACCCCCAGAAAAAAAATACTGAAAGCAACAATAACAAAACTAGGAACGTTTCCAGGCTTTGCACTCTATGTTTTGCGGTTGCCAAAATTAAGAAGATGGCTGTTCAGCCCGGACACTGAGGTCCAGCTCCGATGGCCTTCTGGCAGTTCCCTCACTGTGAGAACTGAAGCTACAGTGAACCAGGCAGAGGGCCTTCTCAGTAGTGGTGCCTACCCTGGTGGAAGGCCCCCCCTCTCATATCAAGGAAATAAACAACTATCCAACTTTTATAAGACATCTGAAGGCAGCCCTGTTTAGGGAAGTTTTTAATGTTTGAAGTTTTATTCTGTGTTTAGTGTTCTGCTGGGAGCTGCCCACAGTGGTGGGAGAAACCCAGCCAGATGGGCGGGGCATAAATAATAAATTGTTGTTGTTGTTGTTGTTGTTATCTTGTTTCATGATAGAGATGTGCTAGCAAAACAAGAAGTCTGTGAGCAGGGATGAAATGATTCCATGGGCAGGATGGACAAAATTATGCATGCTGTAATACTTTTGATATGCACAGCAGAAAAACAAAGCCTAATGTAGCTTCAAGACTAGCAATGAGTTATCATCTGAAGGACTATGATCCTGCAACATAGTATGCCGAGGCAGATATTTTTTTGCTGAAAAGGCATCTCTTTCCGTTTAGGTGTGGTTGCTGGTCAAGGATCATGTTTGACCTTCCAACCCAGGGCAAGTGGAACAAAGGCTGCAGTGTGGGGTCCACCTGCTCAGGGCCGCATCCAGCCTGCTCCATTCCATCTCCCTCCTCCAAAAGTTCCATCCCCAGCTCCCCACCCCAATAGCAGCTCAACGTTGCATGGCCATGCTCCATCAATGGCATCGTGTCAGGCTTCAGGGAATATGATCCCTCCCGCGGTAGCAGCCAAAAAGCAGAGAAATAATTAAAAGTTTTTACCACATAATTTTAAGGGGACGCGGGTGGCGCTGTGGGTTAAACCACAGAGCCTAGGACTTGCCGATCAGAAGGTCGGCGGTTCGAATCCCCGCGACGGGGTGAGCTTCTGTTGCTCGGTCCCTGCTCCTGCCAACCTAGCAGTTCGAAAGCACGTCAAAGTGCAAGTAGATAAATAGGTACCGCTCCATCAGGAAGGTAAACAGCGTTTCCGTGTGCTGCTCTGGTTTGCCAGAAGCGGCTTAGTCATGCTGGCCACATGACCTGGAAGCTGTACGCCGGCTCCCTCGGCCAATAAAGCTAGATGAGTGCTGCAACCCCAGAGTCGGCCACGACTGGACCTAATGGTCAGGGCTCCCTTTACCTTTACCACATAATTTATTAATATTCACAGGACGAGACGAGGAATGCAGTTTTCCCTGGAGATTGGCGTTGCTCCAAGTAATGTCCCACCCCCCTACACCTCTCCTATTCTATGTCACCCCTGTGTCAGCTAATCTGAGCTTTCTGTTCTACTACCCTCAATGCCCGCCTAGTTCTAGGAGAAGAGGGGTCAGGAATGCTTTCCAAAGACACTGAGTCTGTCAGCTGTCTCTCCCCTGGTGCTTCTTCTTCTTCCTGCTGTTCCTCTCCCATTATTCCCCAGCTTCTTCCCTCTACAGCCGCTGAACTATGGCCTTCTGCAAACCACTGTTCTAAATCTATACTGTCCTCCTGTTCTCAGGAAGGTTCAGGAAGCGGGGCTGGTCCCCACCATTCTTCCCCAGTCCAATCCCTGACACATAGTGTTTGTGAGAGAGATAGTGATTGGCCCAAGATCACTCAGTGAGCTTCATGGCTGAGGGGGAATTTGAACCCGGATCTCCCAGGTCCTAGTTTGACACCCTAACCACTATCCTGACCACCCTGGTGTATTTATTTATTACTAGGTTTATACGGCAGTCCATCAACACATGTTCCCTGCTTGGCTTACAGGGCAAGGAATAAAAGACAGCATAAAAATCCCAGGGAATATTAAAAGCAACAGCAACAAAAATAAAGTGCCTTTCTAATCCACGCCATTTTAGCAGCAAATTAGTTTCGTTTTCTTGACTGATTTTGAAATTTGTGCCAAAATATTTATTTCACTGCACTCAAACAAATACTAAAATAAGATCTCAATAAAACTTAAAAATGTGCATTTCTTTTATTTAAAAATAATATTTTTAATAAGCATGCCTCTTAAGTGGATGCTTGGGTGCAACTCCCCCCCCCCCCAGCAGCTCACATAGTGATGTTATGCCTGCTAGTCGTGAGTGGAGAGCAATGGGTACCACACAGTCTGGAGGTAGTCCCTATGCTTCTTTCCTAGTAGTTCATATTGCTCAGCAGCTATTCTGTGACATCACAGCATCTCAGCCAATGACTGCCATGGCTTCGCAGACTGGCAGGAGGCTTTGCCCGCCTGGCACGCATTACATTATATTGTCCAATCTCATGTGCATGTGGCCACCCAGAAAATATATGAAATCAAAGGGATAAAAATATCCGGTGGCACCAGACACATCAAATTAAAGCAGTGGGGGTGGGCAGGGGGTGGGAGGGAGAGATCAGAGCTCATCTCTGCATTGCCCCAAGGGGCAGTTCATATGGCTGCTTTTTGTTTATATTTGTTCGTGCCATCCATAAGGCGCACTGCTCAGCTCTCTCATCCCTCGAGAGTCATTTTGCCTTTGGTTGCCCTTGGGGGAGCCGTCTCTCAGCCTCAACTGCTGGGCTTCTCAGCATGGGCTCTGGCAGCAAAAGCCAGGATTTATCCATCGCATTTCAAAGAACAGTAAAAGTACACCAGTGCCCGGAATAACTAATATACTGTGCGGGGCCTGGGGAATATTTCTGCAGCCACGAGATGGCAGCCGAAGCCCAGAGAGCGCTGACCTGCCGTGCCAGAGTTGCGTGTGCGTCTCTGCAGCAAAAATGCACAACATAAATTAACACTCTGCTCCTTGAACTGCAAAGATGGTCATAAAATATAAAATGGTGTAACAGCTGGAGAAAGGTACTCATGTAGCATGGGATATAAAATATGCATATATTTGCCTAAAAGGTATTCCTTTCTTTACAAAGCGCAGGGACAAAGGACTGTGCGTTGTTTATGTGCATTATGAAGCCTTAACGGGTTTAATAATTTACAAAGGGTAACTTTCCTTGCCATTTATCTTCATCCTTTTAATACAGAAAGGAAGTGTGTGTGTGTGTGTGTGTGTGTGTGTGTGTGTGTGTGTTTGGCGGGGAGGTGGGAGAAGCGCATTACAGTGTTACATATTTTATCATAATTTCTGTGCCCGCTATTTCCTGTAACACTGATTTAATAGTTTAGTTGAAATTTTAGCACTTTCACTCAAAGCCACATACTGTAATTGCATCTGATTATGTTTCAGTTTGGGGGGGGGATTAATTGCTGTATCAAAAAACAAAACTATTTGAGAGATTTCTTGGCTGAGTTGTTTTGGAGTTCAGAAATACACTTTCCCACCACAGCCGGTACTTAAGAAGACCCGTCGCACAACACTTCTGGGCTGTTGTTGGGATTCTTTTGGGCTGTGATCCCTAAGCACACTCCCTTGGAATAAAGTTCACACCAAATAACTACAGTATGCTAAGCAAGTCAAATAAATCTGCATCTTTGTTTCCCCCCTTAAATCTGTTTCTTTCAGCTAATCACCACGATGGTTGCCATATGTCCCCTTTTTCCAGGGCATGTCCTCTTTTTCATGTGTAGAGTCGTCGTAGCAATCCATATTTAAAAGTAAAGTAAAGGTAAAGGGACCCCTGACCATTAGGTCCAGTAGTGACTGACTCTGGGGTTGTGGCGCTCATCTCACTTTATGGGTCGAGGGAGCCGGCGTACAGCTTCCGGGTCATGTGGCCAGCATGACTAAGCCACTTCTGGCAAACCAGAGCAGCGCACGGAAACGCCATTTACCTTCCCACTGGAGTGGTACCTATTTATCTACTTGCACTTTGACGTGCTTTTGAACTGCTAGGTGGGCAGGAGCAGGGACCGAGCAGTGGGAGCTCACCCCGTTGCGGGGATTCGAACCGCCGACCTTCTGATCGGCAAGTCCAAGGCTCTATGGTTTAACCCACAGCGCCACCCGTGTCCCTTATATTTAAAAGTAGAACTCGGCAAATGTGTCCTCTGTTTTTGCTCTTCAAAATATGGCAACCCTATTTGAATCCCCAAACCTTGATCACTAGAAGCAGAAATACAACTCCACCCTGATCTCATTTCTGAGGTTCTGCCAAGTGTTGCCCTTGTTGTCTAACCACCTTAAATGTGCCTTTTGCCCAAGGAAGTGGGCATGGTTGAGATTATAGCCTTAGGGTCCTGGGTTCTGTAAAATGCATATAGCTTTCGCTCTAGCAGACTCTCTCTCTCTCTCTCTCTCTCTCTCTCTCTCGTGTGTGTGTGTGTGTGTGTAGGGTCTGGGCTCTAATCCCAACTGGACTAAGTTCCGGCAGATGTAGACCCATTTCACTATGTTCAGCCTCATTTTTTCCTTCGTCATCTCCTATTGGAAGCGGTTAGCAGAGAAGTTAAAAACCATCATCTGGAGCAGGACTCCGCTACAACAGCCAAGCTCGTTTTATCCCTGACCCATTAAGCTGGGAAGCCAGGCTGCTTCATCTGTCGCTAAACTTGAGCTGCAGCTTTTGTCCCTAGAGAGGGGATGCATCATTTAATTTCTCTTATGGTTCGGAATAACTGGAAATATTTATCGTACAAGTTAATAAGCATACCACTAGCTTGCAAGTTGAGAATCAAGAATGCACAAGCCCTTTCCAGAAATCTTTAGAGGTATTCAGCATTGCACTTTTGGACTACAGTCCTATGCAGGGAGTAAGCTCTGCTGAACTCTGGGGCTTCCAGACAACCCATTTATTGAGAAATCATCCAAAATAGTTTGCAGGGACATTAGGCGACATTGACTATTTGATGAGCAGGCATTCTGATTTGTTTGTTTGTTGGTGGGTATATGTTGATGCATCATAGAATCATAGACTTGGAAGGGTCCCCCAAAGGTCATCCAATCCAACCCCCTGCAATGCAAGTGTTATCACATTTCCAGTGCGTTTCCCCATCACTTTCCTTATAGCACAAAGTCCAATATTTTGGGGAAGCAGGTTTATTGCACAACAGCTCCAAATCAACCTGAGTTTGCTGGTATATGATTGAATACCACCCCCAAACAATGACAGTCCATAAGTGCCCTTACTTCTATGTAACTATGCATATGCTTGAGCTGTGGTATAATTTTAGTTTCAATTACAGTTGTCCACTGATTAAAGATTGTTTAATTGGTACTGCATTTTACTGATTACTCAGTGAGTAATTAATTTAAATATATTTGCATATTGCCAAAACCTCAATATAGGTGACACAGAAAGCCACAAACTTACAATTTAGCATACAAAAGCTACTACCAATAAGAATGAAAGGTCATTTTTAATATACTTTTTTGTTCACTTTCATTCCTAATGAACAGTAGCCCACCAGAATTAATTCATTTTGCTTTAACTGTTGTGTGCCATAGGCCCCGTGGAGGATCCACAAAAACCGATTACAAAATTAAATCTGAGCAAATACTAATCAGATTTGCCATGCACTTCTATTCATGTCTATTTAGAAGGAAGCCCCAGAGAGTTCAATGGGACTTACTCTCAGGTAAGATTGCAGCCTAGCAACCATCTCTAGCAGTCACTGAACAGCAAGACCCCTGTATATGTAATTGCTTTCCTTTAGCAAGAGTAAAATGTCATTTAAACAAAACAAAACAAAACAAAAGATCCACAAGTTTTTAATAGCTATGGAAGAACATTCTTAATAAACTTTGCTTTGCTTCCAGTTCCAATGAGTGCAGAAAATATTACTGGATGCTACTCTTTGATCCTTCCCATTTAATAAAATATTAAGTTTTTGAACATCTGTGAGAAACATCCTGCCTGACAGGGAGTGGAGTCAGTTGATCTTCTCTTGCCTTCTGATGCAAAGGGCAATGCAAAAGTGAAGCAAATCCTCCCACTAGTTCAGCTCCACAAATGGAGAAGTTTAAGAGCACCGTGCAAACCATTATGTTGTTCCAGGTCCCAAGAATTCACACATTGTGAGATTTAGAGCCCATGGCGCTGTGGTCTAAACACCGAGCCTAGGGCTTGCTGATCGGAAGGTAGGTGGTTCGAATCCCTGCGATGGGGTGAGCTCCCGTTGCTCGGTCCCAGCTCCTGCCAACCTAGCAGTTCGAAAGCACGTCAAAGTGCAAGTAGATAAATAGGTACCACTCTGGCGGGTAGGTAAACGGCGTTTTCGTGTGCTGCTCTAGTTTCACCGGATGTGGCTTAGTCACGCTGGCCCCATGATGCGGAAAAACTGTCTGTTGTGGACAAATGTCTGCTCCCTCGGCCAGTAAAGCAAGATGAACGCTGCAATCCCAGAGTCGTCTGCGACTGGACTTAACTGTCAGGGGTCCTTTACCTTTACCTTTACCTTTAGGCATTGGCAGAAAGTGGTTCCAATCAGTTACAGGAGAATGGTTCTCAAGTTCGGAACATAGGTAGTTGGGATGTTCTGGGATGCATTGCCCTTGAAAGAGAAGGCAAATAGTCTGAGAGTGCTTTTAGATCTCTGGGAGTTCAAATGGCCTCAGAAAGCGGCTCCCTTTTATTAGCTTCTGCTAGTACTACAGGTAAAGCCATTGATAGACCGGGATAGCCTTCCCATGGTGACCAATATGCTGGGAATCTCATGGCGGGATCACCGTAATGCACTCTATTTCCCCTTGAAAATGGTTTTGAAGGTGCGCCAAGTGCAAATTGTTGTAGCTAGGGAGCTGAGTGGAGCTGCCTACTGGGATCATAAAACACCGATCCCACGGGCTTCCAGTTTTCCACAGAGGCAAATTCAATTTCAGTGCCACTGAAGCAAAGATTCGTTAGCACTGAAACCAAAACACCCCTGAAAGAAGGGCCCTTAGCTCACAACCCTAATGAAACAAAATTGCCTTAAAAGTGTGCCGAATGATCAACTAAAGATGAGCAGAACAATCCAACACCCCCCCCCCCATGCCTGAAGAGGGTTTGGATTATTGTTAATATTGTTAATTTTATCTATGAATCACTTCCCATGAGGCACCCCAAAGTGACTAACAATAAAAGGTACAGAAAACAGCTGATAGATTTATCTACCAGTTTAATCACTGAAGGTTTGATAACCTCCAACAGAACTGGAGTTGCTCCTTGAAGCTGATGAAGACCAAAAGAAAAGCTAAAAGTTAAATAAATCCTTAGGCCAGCTGTTGTCTGTTTAGGGGATGAGTTGCTGAAAGCTACACAAAAAACTCTAAATTGTTTTCTTAGGTGTATTGTCTTATCAAACGCTAATGTTTTGTGTGAACTGTGTCTGGAACTATGTAAAACCTGCTAAATCCTCAGCAATATCACACCTTGGCTTGCCTGAGTCACAGTAACCCCCGCTTATGTGTGCTCTAATTTCTGACTGTTTGTAGAGGGGATGTCCTTCTTCTCCGTACCAAAATGCAAACCCTTAAAAGAGATGTTTCTTCTTGGTTCTTGCTAGGAGGGAGGGAAGCCTGCTGCAACAGAAAAATAAAGATCTGCCTTGCTTTCACTGCATCCTGCCTCCATCTATTCATCTCTGGCAAAAGCCAACCACCTCTATTTTTTTTTATATCACCACACATTCTGGTCCTGATTCTAATGAGCCCCACACTGTGGTTGATATTTAGAAAAAGTAGGGAACCTAGGCATTTCAAAATGTCTGTTTTCACTCTGATTTTGGAGATAAGCAAATTGCTTCCTCCAAAACACAGGACTCCTTCAAATCCTGTACATTTTGTGGGATGTTTACAATGCAGTCAAACCAACAACACATGTTTGCTAGATAGGCACATGATAGGAGCTGGAGCTCACGGAGTTTTCCTGTTGGTTTCCTAGAAAGAACGCTTGAGAGACACTCCCACCGTGTCCTGATAGGGGAAGGGCGTGGCCATCTGTAAGCTCCTCCCCTGGCTGGGCACTTCCTCTTTGCTCTTTCACTTAATTCTAGCAATTTAGATTAGAACATATGCTATGTATCAGACACTATTTTAAGCTAGATTTTGAAACTGGAATTACCATTTTAAGCCTGCCTGAGCAAAACTGCTGTATCTGCTCCTCTTCGACAAGTATTCTGAGTGAGTAAATGTTATTTTTTACCTTTTACAAGGCTGTTTGTGTGAATATTATTTTAAGGGAGAGAAAAGGGGGAAATACCAAGAGAATTCCTGACTCCCTTAAAACGTCCTGGATTACTTTAACTCAAAGGTGAAAACTAGCCTGTCTAAGCTTCCATTTTAATCTGCAAAGGGATCCATTCTGCTGAACTCACAAACATGAGGAAGGATATTATTATTATTATTAATTGAATTTATATACCTCCCTACACCCAGAGGTCTCAGGGCAGTTCATAGGACAAAATCAAAATATAAAACCACAAAATATATAATCAAAATAAAAACAACAACCCAATAACCTAATAAATATGTCCTCTGCTAGCATCTATACACATTGCTACCCATTTTGGCTCCTCACTTAACTGAAATATAACAATACATAATACTTCAGGTAATGACTCCCATCGCCCAAACCTTTGGAGAGTAGATGGGTTGGTAGGTTATAAAGTTCTTAAAACACCCAGACACCCTTTTCCCCAAAAGAAGACCGCCCTCTAATCACAGTTGACCCCATTAAAAGGATGAAGCATTTAGGATCCTCTTTCTTTGGTTATCAAGTTGGCGTCTAATCTCGCAATGTTTAGGAATCGAAACCTCATCTACATTATTGGAAGAATGCTCCCTGCACAAAGGAGATGTACTTTAATATTAATGAAATGTAATGTGTAATGCAAATATTTAAGATATCCTGGGGTGGTCTCCCAATAGCGAACTGACGATGAGGCGCACTCATTTCAGCAGCTGCTTTGAATAGGGATGCCAAGATTAAGTACACAAATATGTGCACAGGAGAGACGCCATAACCTCTGCAAGAAAAATGTTGCAGCACTGAATGGGGGACTGGGGGAAAATGTAATTGCCTTGCGCATGCAAAAGGAGATTTAGCAACCCGGGGGCATGTTTACGCGGCAGGCTGCCACGCTTCACGCTGGTATAGTTCTGCTTTCTCATTCCTAAAGCATATTTGTTTTCAGCTGTCTGTACCCTGCCTGCTCTTGAGTCTGGATTTCCTTCTTCCTCAGCCTCGAGAATTGACAAGAGGTATAACTAAATTGGGGAGAACAATACAGGACTAATGATTTTTCTCTTTGTCAGAAGGGATGAGAGGTGACTGAGCCGTGGCTGGGTGAAACTCCCAGCTTTTCAGGATACAGTGGTTTTAAGCGTTTTGCCTCAAATGCTGAATATCAGGTCTGCTCTATACAAGGGCAAATTAAGGGGATTGGGAGCCCTGGTGAAGTTCCCTAAATAGCCCTCCTTCCCTTCCCAAAAGGAACACATGAGATAAGGTAGTAAAGTCTTGGGGTATCTCAAAGACTAACAAATTCATTATGATATAAGCTTTCATGGACAAGAAATAGGATGCTGAGCATGTGCAGTTTTACATTGCTCAGGAAAACACAAATGAAAAGCATTTCACTTATCTTGTACCCCCAACTGTCGTGCTTTAAGTGGGACATCCCAGAATTACAGAAGCCACCTCGGCTTCTGATTGGATCCCCGGATGTCCTCTTTTGGCTCTCCTGAGAGCGTGGTCTCATTGGCATCAAATATTTGATCCTTTAACCAGAGCTAAGGGATTGATTCCTAAGGAAGTATCTTAGGCCTGCAGGGACAGAGAGCTATGCACACCTACCTGAGAGTAAGTCCCATTAAACACAAAGAGGCTTATTTCAGAGTTGACATGCATAGCATTGTAATGTAAGTTAACTATAAGTTAATTCTTAACGAGGACCCAAAATTCAGCTCTTGCACTGCAGGAGGCATGCCAAAGTCTCCTTGCAAAGTTTCCACATTATGTATTTGTTCCATGTCATGAAATGCTGCAGGGTTTCATGCTTGTGTGTTTGTGTGTGTGTTTTTTTAAAAGGTTATTTTGAAATTATAGGCTGCTGTATTTTGAGATGGTATTGGGTTGCAATATTCTAATTTTATCGTATCATTGTGCTTTAATAAACTTGATTGATGTTTTGATTGTTTGGTGCTGGGGGTATTTTTTAAAAGTATTCAAGCAACTAATAAATACCACGCATTTGAAAAGCACCACCACAAATTAACTCCGGAGTACACTGCTGATTGCACATGAAATGGGAATTGGCCCTCTGTATTAGCTGGCTTGATTGCAATATCCCAGGGAGAGGGCAATTTGTTTCACCGATGGCATTGTTGTTTGTGAACTTCTAAATTGAGCCGGGAAACAAGTAACCAGCATAGCCAGAACAAGAGCAGAGTTATGTGCGCTGATCACCGGGTCTCAGAAAACAGGGGTGGGTTTCAGGTCAGTGTTAGAATGCATGCTTTGCATGCACAAGGTCTCCAGTCCAATGCCTGCTGTTCAGACTCTTATCTAAAATCCTGGAGACCTGCTGTCAGTCGCTTTCAAGGACATTGAGCTAGATAGATTAGACATTAGTCAGTTGCTTATGTTCCGGTAAGGTATGTTCCAATATAACAGCCAATGGTGTCCACATTTTGGACCAATTTGTTAATGTACAGTGGTACCTCGGGTTACATACGCTTCAGGTTACAGACTCCGCTAACCCAGAAATAGTACCTCGGGTTAAGAACTTTGCTTCAGGATGAGAACAGAAAGTGAGAGTGAGAGTGAGATGTGAGAGTGAGTCAGCACAATCTAAAGTATAAACATAAACGTAAACATAACAATAATTTATTTATACAGTCAAACCTCGGTTGTCAAACGTAATCCATTCGGAAGCCCATTCGACTTTCAAAATGTTTTACAACTGAGGCGCGGCTTCCAATTGGTTGCAAGAGCTTTCTGCACTCAAGCGGAAGCCTTGTCGGACGTTGGGCTTCCAAAAACATTCAAAACCAGAGCGTTTACTTCGGATTTTCAGCTTTTGGGAGCCGAAATGTTCGAAAATGGAGCCATTAGGGAACTGAGGTTTGACTGTACCCCGCCCATCTGGCTGGGTTTCCCCAGCCGCTCTGGGCGGCTCCCAACAGAACACTAAAAACAGAATAAAATTTCGAACATTAAAAACTTCCCTAAACAGGGCTGCCTTCAGATGTCTTCTAAAAGTCGGATAGTTGTTTATTTCCTTGACATTTGATGGGAGGGTGTTCCACAGGGCGGGCGCCATTACTGAGAAGGCCCTCTGCCTGGTTCCATGTAACCTCACTTCTCGCAGTGAGGGAACCACCAGAAGGCCCTCGGAGCTGGGCCTCAGTGTGTTTGAAGCAAGTTTGCTGTTGGCCAGAGCCTAGTTTGTGTTGGGACACTGCAAGGAGACCATATTAAAAGACTATATATGACAACTGTATGTAACTGCTAAGCTGTGGAGCTGCATCTTACTGTTACTAAGGGGACTGACCCTACCGCGAACTGTCTGGTGTTTTTCTGTTCCATTGGTACACTCTGCTGGCGTGTTGAACGGGTACTCTGTTCATGCCCCAACAGTTTCTGAATTCAAGACAGCCCCAGGTAGAGAGTACTGCAGCAATCTAGCCAGGAAAGTAACTTGCGCACAACTGACAGATGCCCAGTCTGTCCTTTCAAGGAAATACTGCCAATTCTTAGCTGCAAATGGCACCAAGAGTGCTTTCTACCAGCTCCAGCTGGTTCAATAGCTTCAAATCATCACCCTTGCTTCTTTTCCATGTCTATATGTCAGGCATAGGCAAACTCGGCCCACCAGATGTTTTGGGACTACAACTCCCATCATCCCTAGCTAACAGGACCAGTGATCAGGGATGATGGGAATTGTAGTCTCAAAACATCTGGAGGGCCGAGTTTGCCTATGCCTGCTATATGTCTTGGCCGTAGTGATTGTTGCTTGTTGGGACTGGTAGTGTAGGAGGCCAACAGTAGGTGGAGACAGAGATAATAACTGGAAGGGCCAACTAATACTAGATTTGTCCCTATCCTCCTTCCTGTTGAGTTCTGCAGGGGCAGCACAGAGACTGAGGGGGAAGCTATGTGCTGGCTGCGAGGACTGACTGAGGATAGACAGAGCTTAGTGGCGCCTTTCAACCTAATGGACCGCATCTTGGCAATTTGAGGCAGAAAAGCAGTGAAGGTTTCGTGTGCAGACGACACCCCCCCCGACTTTCCCCTTCCAAAGCTGACTTTCCTCGCTTGTAGGGCTCCTATTACACCCCCATATGTTTTAACAAAGAGTTCCACCCTTCAACCTGGTGAAATGTTAAAAAATTAACGTGCAAACTACAGTTCTACAACACCACCTTCCGTCCTCTGAAAAATGATCACCTGTACACAGCCAATAAAAATACGAGGTCCTAGCATATTTTTCTTATCCTGCCAATCCCACGGCCCTGATGCCTGTGACAGTACAGACCACACGTCACGAGTTTTCCTGCTAGGCTGGTTATGAGATTTCCCAGCGCCGTTTGCATTCATTTAAAAATCGCATTTATATCTGACTTTTCCTTTGACGTTCCCAGGCGGTCTCCTGTTCAGTTACCAGGCAAGGCCAGTTCTTTCAGGGATGGCACTCTTATTCGTTGCTATAGGACCGTTTTCGAGGAATGGTTCTTTGGAGTAATTGGAACCAGCATTCCACATGTGAGAGAGTGAGAGGGGTGCTATTTGCCACCCTCATAGCAACAAGTTCAAATGCAGCCTTTTTTGATCCATTCACTTCCACTGCTCCCCCCCACCCCCACCCCCGAATGACCATAGATCATTTAGGTTAACAAATCTCTGCAGCATTTCAGCCCTGACGCTTAATGGCATTATTCGAAGCAGCACTTGATTTAAGATTTGAACTTTTGTAGCAATTCTTTCTACTGCCAATGAATTTCCACATTTCTAATAAAATGAATATGACTTTTGCCTCTGGTCATGTAGTAAATCCATACTCTCCTGCAGTCGTGTAGTAAATCCATACTTTCCTGGGCTGTAGAATTAGCCACCTCATGCTTCTTCCCCCCATTAAAGATTGAGCTTAAATCATGTTGTGCCTTAGAATGTTTTCTTGGATGACTTGATCCATTTCGGTGCCACATGCAGGAATTGTACGGGGAATTATTTTATTTAAGATGACATGATTGATGGAGAAAATGTTGGATTCGTTCCGGCAGTTATATGTATTTGCTCTGCAGGTGCTTGTGGCACACCCTGTTTTAGAGCTACGGAGATAGATTTGTTCTGTCTTTGTCCTCGGCGAATATAGTTTGGTGGAGCTGACTAAAGCCGATGTCAGGGCCAGCCCTAAACATTTTTCCACCTGAGGTGAAGAACAAAGCAATGGCCACCCTTTTCACATACACAGAAGCTGTCTAAGATGGCAGCTGAATCTTATTTCAGTGCTGGTAAGCAACTAGGGGGAGGACTGTCCCTCTTGTTGCACAGCTTTTGCCACCTGAGGAAGTTGTCACACTCTGCCTAATGGTAGGGCCAGCCCTGACTGGTTTGTGAATAGACAGACTCATGAATAGTCATTCCAGAATTATCAGCAGTGTTGAAGAGGATTCTGGAATGTACACTCAATATGTGCAGGGAAGTTTTCCATTGTCTAGTGCTTTGGTCCCAGGATAAAGTCTGAAGGCATCCGGGATCATCATCTTGCTGAAGCTAAGCAGGTCTGGCCAGTGTCTGTATGGGTGCCTGCCTGGTAACCATATATATATGCCATCATGGGTTCCATGATGGATGAGAGGAGGTATATAAATGTAAGGAAATAAATACAACAGTGGCTTTAAGAATCTTGAGCTGGCCCATTTTGGTGTATACCTATGACATTTTTGTGGCTGTACTCAGTAGTGTACATTAGATAGCTGGAAGTACCTCTGGAGAGGTGGGTATACTGGACCATCACAATGCTGGTAAATTGCTGAATGTGGTTCATATTGTAGAATGCCTTGTTAAGATAGTTCTCCTTGGTGACGGTAGCAGTGATGAATGATAGGAACTCAAGTCAGGAGTCCCTGCGAGGACCAAGACAATCACAAAGGATTTGTGGCTCAATGTTTTTCTTAGTTCTGGCATTATTTTGTAAACTGAAAAGGCTTTTCGAGAAGAAAACATCCAAGTTTTTAATTAAAACGCTTAGTCTAGAGAGTTTAATGAAGCACTGGGTACTGATCTAACCTTTTATTCAAAACAGGCTCAATTACTTCTCAATTAAGAGACCCTTTCAACAGTTGTTTTTGTTTGGCTAACCCCAAATTAAAAGTCTCACAGTGTAATATAGTAGGTGGTGATTCTAATCTGCTTTCTGTAGCTCTCCATCACAAATAATTTGAACTGAGCCTCATGTGTTTGCATGTTCAGCAGTACCCGTGCTTTACGGCAGAACACTTGATGCCAGTCTAACTCGGTCCAAGCAGTTTTAGAGCAGCTTTGCAGTACTTGGATTCAGTTATTATACAAACTGCTTTCAGGCTGTAGATTCCAGAGATCTATGCCCAAAGGACAAGCTGGAATAAGCACAGTATTTGTTGTTTTGCACTGCATCAGCCTGAGAGTGGTATCCAACGTCAGTCCTACTTTTGTCTGCAATGCCTATCTTCTATGGTTACCAGTTGACAGGAATTACATGTGAGGAGAGGGATGTTGCACTCAGATTCTGCTTTGGGGCTTCCCAAGGGCAGGGGCGTAGCATGGTTGCTGGCACCTGGGGCGGGGCAAGTTCTGCGGATGGGCAGTGGTCAGTCCCTTCACCAAGGGAGTCTCTCCTTGCAAATCACTGTGTCACCTTGCCCTCCTGTCCTTGTAGCGAGGTGGTCTGGGCAATGCACGTGGTTCCAGCAGTGCTTTCCTGCCTTCCTCTTCCTCCTTTGCTCCTCAGTGGGCAGTGGTAGCACCCTCACCCTCCATCTCGGCAGGCCAGGGGTGTGGGAGTCCCTTTGCCGGCCACAAGGAGGAGGAGGCAGTGCTGTTGTGGGATGTAATCCACTGGGAGCAGTCAGATACAACATTCCTTGTTTTGCTAGAGTGGACATGCAAGGGAATGTTTGGTCCAGCCAGTCGAAACTTCCTGTTCCTCCTGGCCTGGAGCATCCTTCCTTGCATGTGACTAGTGGGTGGGCATTACCTTTCCAGACCTGGTAAAAGGCCAAGGCATGCTGCCACTCTCTCTTTTCCATCTTCCTTTTGTCCTGTGAACTGCTAGCCTGCAGTCACTAGGTAAAGCTCCCTTATGGGGTAAACCTGTTTGTATACGTTTGAAACTTTAAGCCTAAAATCTGCCTTCAGGGATCACACTGTGCTCTGCCTGATCGTGAGTAAACTTTCTTTTTGTTGCTTATGAGTAAGACTGTGGTGTCTTTATTCTTTTAGGAGGAATTCAAGGGGTCTTACCAGGAAAATATTAGAACACATTTCAATCTGGACAAGCCAGATTGAATTGCGTTTTGTCTTAAGAAACTCACACGAGTTTGCAACTAGTTTTCTGCTGTGTAAAGGGGAATGCACTCTGCTAAGTGAACGAACTTGCTAACGCAAGTTAGGAAGGATATTAATAAACAATATATCCTCTCCTGACACCCTGAACATTCCCACAGCTGTCCCATCCCCAAAGGCCCGGCCTGGGTGCGACTTGCCTCTCCGCAGCTCTGGCCTTGAGGAGGGAGCCTGTCGTAAGGGCACCTGCTGGTGCCCCCTCATAAATTTGTGCCCGGGGCCATGGCCCCCCTGCCCTCCCCACGCTATGCCACTGCCCATAGACATCTGGTTGGCCACTAAGAACAGGATGGTGGACTAGATGGGCGATTTAACTGATCCGGCAGGCTCTTCCTATGTGCAACCCATCCACCCATTAAATGCTCTTATTTGTGAGTTAAACTCATCAACTTTGATGCCTCACTGCAGTCTGTGAATGAAGTCAGAAAGGATGTTAATATGAAGACCTGAACTAGCAAGAGGATAGTCATGGGCATTCTGACCACAAATGCAGAACGGGGGATAATATTTTGGGCAATGATGCTAGGAAAGGCTTTATAGTAGAATCACACTTGATGTTCCTCCTTTTCTATTTTGTCTGCCTCAGGATTTCCCAAACATTTCCTAAAAAAAAATCATTAATTTTTTTAATAAAGTGAAAGTCTCAGTGCATTAAAGAAAAAAGGGAGAAAGAAACAGAACAGATGCTCATGACGGTCAAGCTGACTCATTCAAAAACTTACAGGGCAGTAAGCCTTGTGTAACCCCAGGAGCCCTTTTTTGGAACAAGAAAAAGACCTTTGAAAATGTGCACCAAGAAACACCAGATATTGTTTGAAAGTGCTTATGGAAGCTGGCAGGGCCTTTTTCATTATTTCCCTGGCACTCTTCGTTTCCTTTTGGATACTAACTTCTTGGTACATTAGCTTTTTTACATGTGATTTCATCCAAGTATTTTATTGTTTGGGTTTGTATAAAACTCCTGTCTTTTGGATAAATAGGAACTGCAATTTTAAAAGCTTAAATAGTACGTACACCCAATTAAGATCCCCTCTTTTAACTGAGCAGCTTTGTTGCCCTGAAATTCGTCAGAAAATTATTTCTCAAGAAATGGTCTAATTTTCTGAGAATCTTCTTTTTTGAGCTCCCCTCTAACTGTTGCAGAATATCGCCCACTGTCTTCCCAATTTCATCTCCTGTTACTTGGATGGAGAATTTTGGATCAAACCCAATGTAGTTTATGTAGTTCGTTGATTGAAGCAACAGACTTGGCTCCTATCCTTTCTAGTTCTCAGCCTGAGGAGGAGAGCTGCATTTCTTTGTGGACAACCTTCAAAGGAACACGTTTAAGTGATGGGTAGAGCCTGGGGGAAGGGGAATGAGTGGGTCAGTGTATGTGACTCCTACCCTAACTGTACAACTACACAAAAGTCAGCGGAGTCTGTACACACATACACACCCTGCTCCCTCGAGGCAACTAAGGGGCTTTATCACAGTTCAAGGACAGATTCCAGAGAGGCAAAATCACTCAAGGAGGGTTTGGAGCAGTCAGTGGAGAGTAATAAGAAGAAGAGTTTGGATTTGATATCCCGCTTTATCACTACCCAAAGGAGTCTCAAAGCGGGTAACATTCTCCTTTCCCTTCCTCCCCCACAACAAACACTCTGTGAGGTGAGTGGGGCTGAGAGGCTTCAAGGAAGTGTGACTAGCCCAAGGTTACCCAGCAGCTGCATGTGGAGGAGCGGAGACGTGAACCCGGTTCACCAGATTACGAGTCTACCGCTCTTAACCACTGCACCACACTGGCTCTAAGGGCTGGATAGAAAGGCACCCTACCCTTGTCTTGCTCCATTTCTTCCTTCCTTCACATCTCCACCCCACAAAGTGAATCAACAACATTGTGTCATTCAGTGAGTGAGCCAAAACTAAGCAGAAGAAAATCTCCAAATACTTTTTCTAGAAAATTGCTTTTCCAGAATGTTGGGTCATTCACCCTCCTGGAAAATATTCAGTGAACCTCCCCCCTTTTAAATTTCTGTAAACGATGCTGTTTTTTCTAGGAAAAGAGATGCCACAACTCACCATGAACTCCTCCCTTGTTCTCTTATAATGGCAATGGAGCCCACCAGAGAGAAGTCAGAATTGAGTTCCGGCTGAAAAAAAGCCCTGTCTGTAAATAGGATGAAGGATTTCCGGAAGGAATACCCATCTTCAGAGGAGACAATATATTGTGCTTCTGAGTGACAGTGTTTTGGAGTCCTATTCCAGCCATAGTTCTTAGTCGTATGAAGAAGCCCATGTGTATTCAGTCTAATATGTGTAGATACAGTGGTGCCCTGCAAGACGAATGCCTCGCAAGACGGAAAACCCGCTAGACGAAAGGGTTTTCCGTTTTTGAGTTGCTTCGCAGGACGAATTTCCCCATGGGCTTGCTTCGCAAGACGAAAATGTCTTGCAAGTCTTGAGATTTTTTTTTCGCTTTTCGCCCCCTTTATCTAATCTGCTAAGCCTTTAATAGCCTTTTAGCAGCTAATCCGCTAAGCCTTTAAGCCTTTAATAGCCGCTAAACCGCTAATAGCGCTAATCCGTTAAGCCGCTAATAGGGTTGCTTCGCAAGACGAAAAAACCGCTAGACGAAGACTCTCGCGGAACGGATTAATTTCATCTTGCGAGGCACCACTGTACCTCCTTCAGACTTTCTGCCCAACAAACAAAGGTCCGGAGGTGGAGTTGATGGGCATGGGAATGATGAAGATTAGGGCAAGCACTGAAACACAGTGGGGTGGGTGGGGGTGGAGAGGACCCTCTGAAAGGGGCCCCAGAACAATGCCAAACTCAGAAGCATAGTCTGGAATAATATCCAAGTGCCGGGCTTTGGGAAATTGGCTTCTTTCCCCATGGCAATAAATAAGTAGATCAAACGAAAGGAACGTCGTACCGGTTAGATTCTTTAATAACCATAGTGAGAGACAAAAGATTGCGTCTTGCTAGAAATGGTGGTGCTCCCAGTTAAGGCTCACTCCCCCCTCTATTAATCCATATCACTCCTATGTCTTGTAATCTGAGCTTGTACCCTCTGCGCTTTCTGTTCTGAGACTTTCTGAGCTATTCTCGACCTTGGGAAGGGCAGTGGAGGAATGCTGTCCAACGACTGTGAATCTGTTAACCCTCTCTCTTCCAGTGTTTCTTCTTTTTCTAGCTGTTCCCCATCCAGTATTTCCCAGCTTCTGCCTTCTGAACTATGCCCCTCTTCAAACCACTGTTTCAAATCTACGCTGTCCTCCAGTTCCTGGGAAGATTCAGGATCAGGGGGAGGGGGGTGGCTCCCACCATTCCTCCTTAGTGCAGCCTTCCTCAGCACGGTCCCTGACACCAAGGAAGGCGGGTGTTAAGGGTTGAACAGAAGCCATCTGCCAAAATTATTGCCCTATTTGCAAGTGAGCACAATGTCCAGGGGTGTTGGAGGTGGGACCACCATGCATGGAACGAAGCTGTGAGCAGTTCTCCTTGCTCTCTACATACAGTTGGCATGTGTCTGTTTCGAGAGACAATGGAGTAATGCACCACCGGGGGGGGGGTGTGAGTTACAGCACCTGCTGTGGCTGTAGAGACCAATACGGAAGAGACATGTTTTGTTGCAGCTGGGGCAGAGGAAGGCATCCAGTTCTGCTGCTGCAGATGTACCGTGGTGTTTCTTCTCTGCATTCCTCCCAGAGGTCATTACTTCTTTTGTCACTGTGGGTGGCGCTGTGGGTTAAACCACAGAGCCTAGGACTTGCCAATCAGAAGGTCGGCGGTTCGAATCCCCGCCACAGAGTGAGCTCCCGTTGCTCGGTCCCTGCTCCTGCCAACCTAGCAGTTCGAAAGCACCCCAAAATGTGCAAGTAGATAAATAGATGCCGTTCTGGTGGGAAGGTAAATGGCGTTTCCGTGCGCTGCTCTGGTTCGCCAGAAGCGGCTTAGTCATGCTGGCCACATGACCTGGAAGCTGTACGCCGGCTCCGTTGACCAATAAAGCGAGATGAGCACTGCAACCCCCGAGTCATCCATGACTGGACCTAATGGTCAGGGGTCCCTTTACCTTTACCTTTATGGATGCACAACCTGACCGTCTGTCTCCAAACACTGTGGTTGTCTGCAAGGGATTTCCGCACGGCGAGGTTGATGTTGCCCGCGTTCATGTCATGCTTGCAGACACCTTTGTAACACAGAGTTGGTCTGCCAACGGGCCTGGTGCCTGAAGCCAGCTCCCCATAGAGCATGTCCTGGGGCATCCTGCCCTCTTCCATGCTTTCTACATAAGGAGTGGTGAAACGGTACCAAGTGCATCAAATGCAGAGTTGTGGCACTGTTACCCTCCCCTCGAGGAGGCTGGCTGATTGGAAGGAGGCAAAACTAGAGCGGTAAATCATGCAGAAATTCAGTGGACAGGCTCTTCTACAGGTGAGTGCCTTGGACTCTGGGGAGCTGTTAATGGATTGAATAGTTTTCATGGCACGCAACCTGTTCTTTCCAAGGACAAAGGGTGGGCCCCACCTCCTCTCTACATCTTTCATGATTGGCACACTGTTGATTCTTTGCTCCATTGTATGCTTCCCCAAGCTCTTTCAAGCAGGAATGGGAACTAGCTGACCTTCGTATGTCGCCAGACTAAAACTCCCACCAACCTCTGCTAATCTTAACTCCTGAGAAGGTTTGAAGGGAAGGAGACAGTATTTGGGGCCCAAGTCATTTAGGGCTTTAAACCCAAATGTGAGCACCTTGAATTGGGCTCAGAAATGAATGGGCAATCACTTTGCTGAAGGCATTTCCTTACAATATAGGACATAATGTTTTGATATATGGAACACTGTACATTATAAATTGCCTTCGTATGCTGCCTCATTGTGGCAGTATATTGTGTGCTTGAAAAATTCAGCAAAGTTTAAATGAAAGAAAGAGTGCCTCTGCCACCGTCGTTTTTTCTGCCGGCGTATTTGATGTCACTGGATAAGGGCATGCCACAGTTACATTTTTCAGCCATGCAGGTGATTTATAGGAAGGCCAAATCTTTATTATGTTTTAGAAGTTAATTTGATTTTGGTGCAGACATTTTTGCAGAAAATGAGGCTGTAAGAATGTTTTTATGCTCCGAATCTGAGTGCAGCAAATGGAAGAACGCCTAAATGGGCTTACTAGCCGCGGAATGCTACCCAGAACACGTCTACTGAATTCATAACCTGTGACTGCCCCAAAGGGATTTATTAAAATTCAAAGCATGCTGATCCTAGACCGTTTGATTTGAAACACAAAATTAGGGAACTGACTTTGATTTAGAATGGGGGGGGGGGGGAGCCCTCTTCATCACAATGCAGATCACTCTGAAGGTGCATTCAATTACCTGATGTCCAGCAAAATAGTAGATGTGTGTTGATATAAGACTCAGCTTCAGAGAACTCTCTCTCTCTCTCTCTTCTGCTATATTACAGTTCCAATAAAAATGGGTTTGATGTTCTGAAGGATTTTACTTCTCATGAAAAATGTCACAGTCATCGCACCAGGCATTAAACCATATCAATCCTTTGCAGTTTTGTTGGTGATGCCCCACCCCATTAAAAAGACCTATTGATAAAATTGGGACAGATACCATAGATGTCTCCTGCTCCCTTCTTTGTAAAATGTGGTTAATTGTACAGTGGTACCTTGGGTTAAGAACTTACCGGTAATTTGTTCTGGAGGTCCGTTTTTAACCTGAAACTGTTCTTAACCTGAGGTACCACTTTAGCTAATGGGGCTTCCCGCTGCAGCTGTGCCGCCGCTGTGCAGTTTCTGTTCTCATCCTGAAGCAAAGTTATTAACCAGAGGTACTATTTCTGGGTTAGCAGAGTCTGTAACCTGAAGTGTCTGTAAACCGAGGTACCACTGTATTGAAAAGTGTAGGCCAGGGGTTGGCAACCTAAGGCCCATGGGCCACAAGCAGCCCACGGGGGTTGTTTAACCGACCCACGAGCCACCCCGAACCAAGCCACCTGCTTGGCAAGTCCCTGTGCACTGCGCTAAATCAGCGCGACACGGGGACTTGCTTCCGCGGTCCTGTAAATCACATCTGCACAGACACAAATGCTGGAAATCACGGGGGTGCGCGCGATCGGGCCCACAGGGGGATCTCCACTGGAGTGAAGCAGCCCAGGTGAGGTAAACTTTGCCATCCCCTGGTGTAGGCAGTGCCTGTGCCAGGCAATTTTATACTCCGGGCAACGATAACTACTTGCACCACCACCCCAAATCCCCCCCCCCCAAATTCAAATTTGAAAATCAGATGCCTTGTAGGAAAAAAGAAAAAACACAAAATGTGAAACTGCTCAATTTATTTTCAATTGCAAGAATAAGTAATACAACAATCTCTGATGATCTTTCTCAAATAGAATATTTTCACGCACGAATCGCATTGAATAATCTTGTGAATGGTGATGTTAAAATTTAAGCTTCTTAAAAAATTCTGTTTCAGGCGCATCAAAATAGCACTTTATGTGCCTTTCCCTTTGTAAATTTTGCCACCAGTTCCTTCAGGTCAGGCACTGATGCTTGGGCGCATAGCTGCCAAGCCAGCTAGCATCTTTTGCAACATTTAGGGGCTGCTCCTGCCGTGCAACCGAGTTGAAATGAGAGGGAGGTAGCAGGAACTGGTTACTGAATAGGGCAGCAAATGTTGGCTCTCGGAGAAAGTGCGAGAAAATGTCATTTGGGGTCCACTTTAGGCATAGGATTCCGTAGGCGGGCAGCCACTGACATGATCTGAGGTGATCCTGATTTATCTATTATGTATGGGAGTTCCTGAATACAGTGGTACCTCAGGTTACATATGCTTCAGGTTACATACGCTTCAGGTTACAGACTCCGCTAACCCTGAAATAGTGCTTCAGGTTAAGAACTTTGCTACAGGAAGAGAACAGAAATCGTGCTCCGGCGGCGTGGCGGCAGCAGGAGGCCCCATTAGCCCCATTAGCTAAATTCAGGTTAAGAACAGTTTCAGGTTAAGTATGGACCTCCGGAACGAATTAATTACTTAACCTGAGGTACCACTGTACAGGAACAAGGGCACTAGATCCTTATTAAGCCTAGCTTGAAGATTTTCTGGACATGATTCAAATGACAGCACAAGGAAATTCAATTTTCAGAAATTTGCTTAAGGAATATTTAATACTGGGCATGCTGCAACAAACAAACAAACCAAAAGCAAAAACCAAGGCTTACCTATACCGCATAAAGGGAATTTTTAATTTAGACTTCAGTTCCTAAACAGCCTTCGAAGTATCTCTCCCCCTGTTGCCCACTGTTGGCACCCTTGCTCTATAATTTCAATTGCTGACTAACTATATCCTATAGGTGACTCAGCTTCTCTCTCGCCTGCTGTATCACCGTTCTACTTTCTCTGCTTGTGCCTGCAACCTTGTGCCCAGTTATGCACCCACTGATCTCACTGGAACATAGGCATATGTTAAAGGGCATTAAGCGGTAGCCTAGAGTCATTTTCAGAACTCTGACACACTAAGGGAAAGTATTCAGCCAGTGTGGTGTAGTGGTTAGGGAGCAGTGGACTCGTAATCTGGTGAACCGGGTTCACGTCTCCGCTCCTCCACATGCAGCTGCTGGGTGACTTTGGGCTAGTCACACTTCTCTGAAGTCTCTCAGCCTCACTCACCTCACAGAGTGTTTGTTGTGGGGGAGGAAGGGAGAGGATATTGTTAGCCGCTTTGAGACTCCTTCGGGTAGTGATAAAGCGGGATATCAAATCCAAACTCTTTTTCTTCTTCTATTCAACCACACAGGACCGGCATGAGGATCGCAGTGATTCTCAAGTAGACCACATGGCTTATTTCAAGAGCTGTAGGAAATCTGAAGGCTCAGCTTATGCAGCCTGGGCCACTCAGGGACAGGATGTGCAGAACCTTGTGCTAGAGAGGGACTGAATAAAAGGTATATATATATATGTATGTATGCACAATATATAGCTATCTTGCGAGGTTGATGCATTGGTTTCACACGACTTTAACTGTAACGGTGTCCACTCATATAACACTGGGAATTGTATCATGTATGGCAAGGTGATGCTAAGAAATCACATGATGCTAATTCCTAAACAGAGGGAATTATTATAAAACCAGCTATAAGGTTTGGATATGGGCTAACAGAATCCTCAAAATGGAAAAGGCCAGGAAAAAGTTTTCTTGATTTCCTTCAGCGCTTTGGATAAACAGAGAGCTGTTGTGTTTTCCACGTTTGTTTCATTTTTATTCCTTCACAAGCCAACGTGACCAATATAAGCAACAAAACTTTCCTTTATTCCTTTGCCACTGCTTTCCCTTTTCAAGACAAGGCATATTTCTAGATGCATCCTGCTGAAAAAGAGTGCTGAAGAATAAAGTATTATTTTGCTACATAGAATCATATGAGATTCCGATCAATGTCGGCTGACAACAAATGACCTTGGTTCATCCATTTTTCTGTGATGCCCCAATGATGGTGTTCATTGATTGCATGCCTCACAGAGACCAAGGAATTTCTCCTTTCAACAGCTATGTGAAATAAGATTCCAATACCTCCTTACCACACTTACATTTTGAATGGGAAGATAGAGCACACAGAGACTAGGGACTCAGCTGCATTAGTCAAAAAACAGCATTTTAAATCCATTATAAACATGCAACACCAGATGGCGCTGTAGAGCACAAAACTCTTCTATGCGATTTTGCATAGGTTTTTTCTTCCGTTATAACGATTTAATTTATGACTGACATAGCATTTCCCCCTGTGTGTAGATCCACCCTAGGTGTGTCATGCTGTAAATGTGTGACACAGCCAGTACTACAATAATTTATAATAATAATAACTTACTACTTACACCCCACCCTTCTGGGCAGGCCTCCCCAGCCACTCTGAGCAGCTCCCAACAGAATATTAAAAACATGATAAAACATCAAACATAAAAACTTCCTTAAACAGGGCTGCCTTCAGATGTCTTCTAAAAGTCAGATTGTTGTTTATTTCCTTGACATCTGATGGGAGGACGTTCCACAGGTTGGGCGCCACTACCGAGAAGGCCCTCTACTTGCTTACCTGTAACCTCACTTCTCGCATTGTGGGAACTGCCAGAAGGCCCTTGGAACTGGACCTCAGTATCCGGGCTGAATGATGGGGGTGGAGACGCTCCTTCATGTATACTGGGCCGAGGCTGTTTAGGGCTTTAAAGGTCAGCACCAACACTTTGAATTTTGCTCAGAAACGTACTACTCAAACACTGCTCCAATCGAAACGTCATCTGGTCAGAAACATAAGATTCAATTTATAACATTGTTTGCCCATTTTATCACATGCTTTCTTTAAGGCAATGCGGAAGAAACTCAGTTCATCAGATATTGCCCCTCCAAAAAGTAAATAAATTGGGGTGTAGTGCAGTTCATTTCAAGTCCACTTATGAATTAAACTGGACTCCATTGCATGCTCTACATCAGTGATTCTCAAAGGGTGTGCCACACCACGTTGTGTGGAAGGAAAGGGTGGCAAGTGTGGCGGGGAGAATTCAAGGACAATCAATACTATATTTGGGAATGAATCATGTTCTTATGTAGCTGCATTTTTAAAAAATACTTTCTGGATGTCCCGTGACCGCATTTTAAAGTTGTTGCATTCTGTGTTATATATCAAGCCCTGCTCATCGTTCCTTTTTGTTTTCCAATGTATTTCTTATCAGTAAAAAAATCGGCATTGCATGAGCAAATTTTTATTCTGGACCTGTGGTCCGTGTGTGTGGGGGGGAAGACAACCACTGCTCTATGGCATCATTAAGCATGTTATGAGGTCTGATCCTTCTGCCAACCCACTGTGAGCATCCAGCCCTGCTTATCTGGCTGCTGCTCTGGTGGTGGCAGGAGAAAAAAGAGCTGGGAAAGGTCTCTCTTTCTCCCCTGGCACCTGGACGGTTGCTATAGCAGTTGCCCGGAGTCAGCTAATCCCAATTGACTAGAACCTCCAGCCAACAGAGTCTTCCATCAGCCAGACCAATAAGAGAACTAACCCATTGGGTTACTGGCTGAATGGTCCCTGCTGTTGTACGTCTAAGGGTAACATCCAGTTCTGCCCTATGGCCTCCTGAACCTCCAGGCACACCCAGCATTTCATAGATCTGGAGCAGAATTTCATTAAAACCCCCCATAATGGAAGTCTCATTCCAGAATGAGCCTGTGTCATGAAAAGACACCTCAGCATATGTGAAGCGACAAATGTAGCTTAATTTCCCTTCAAAATTGACGACAAATTCCTGTTAGCTGCCGACATGTGTAATGAATGCATTGATACATGCCACACATTAGCAAAGATCTCACAAGTCTTAGGTAAATTGGATTGCCTTTGTTTTGATTGCATTTTACTGCTTCTGCCTCTCCTGCCTCTGGTCTGGCTTTTTTGATCATGCCAGGTTGGTCCCTTTGTGGTTAACACCTTTTGAATCGTGAACTCTCTGAGGAGGAAGGCTTGAGGCACCAAACAAGACACAAAAACACTGACAATGTCAAAGGGAACACACTTAAATGCCGCCACATCCTCATTGATGAGAAAATCCTCTGCTAATTGCATTAATCTATTGATTCCCCCCCCCCCCCAAAGGGCTGGTCCTTTGGCGGGTTGCACATCCACACATGGCCCTCCTGGCGTTCTGGTTCAGTGTTTCAGTACAACATCTGATGTGCAAGAAGGTCTCCCTGAAAAGGAAGGGAACGACTTTGTGTGAGAGACCTTCAGTGGCACAGACAGTTAGAGATACATGCATGGTTCCTCAGCCTAGACCAGGGGTCAGCAAACTTTGTTAGCAGGGGGCCGGTCCACTGTCCCTCAGACCTTGTGGAGGGCTAGACTATATTTTGGGGAAAAAATAAAAAAAATAACGAATTCCTATGCCCCACAAATAACCCAGAGATGCATTTTAAATAAAAGCACACATTCTACTCACGTAAAAACATGCTGATTCCCAGACTGTCCACGTTCCGGATTTAGAAGGCGATTGGGCCGGATCCGGCCCCTGGACCTTAGTTTGCCTACCCATAGCCTAGACCAATACAGGTTGACAGTGAAAGTTCAAAAAGTGACATGAATGAATTATTGAGGGGGGGGGAGAGTCTTTGCCCTTTTGGTGAGATTCCCTGGAAAAATAACACCGTATTTTTCCATGTATAAGATGACCCCTATTTTTGGGAGCCCTCAACAGTTGTTGAGCTTCTTCTGTAAGTTCGCTGAGCTGTTGAGCAGCTTTTCGGTGATCTGCCGCTCTGGCTGATGAAACTGGTGCCGTAATGCACCACATACTGGCACTCACCAAATACTCTTCCTAAACTGGGAAGAGCAGGTAGACAGCCTCCTCTCCAACATTTCCCTGCTACCGCCACAGCAGCAGCCCTCGCTTACTTAGCATATTAACCCATGTATAAGACGACCCCCAATTTATCACATTTTTTTTTTTTAAAAAAAGACTGTCTTATACATGGAAAAATACGGTAATTTTGCATTTGTGATACCTCACCCTCCGAGACAGGTCTTCTTTACAAAGCTCTGGTAATGTCTATGTGAGGATGGAGAAGAGAAACACAGGATTACAGCTATGGGCGTTTTAAAACCTCTGTGTTTTTTATGAAATAACATTTTCTTTAATTGTACAATTAGCAGTGGCACATCTACCATATGCCAGATTGATTAGCTCACAGTTAGCCAGATGAAAAATCATTGCCTGGGTTTCAGAGTCCATTAACAAGCCACCTCTTCAAAGTGCACACATTCTAACGGTGATTTGAAGTTGCAGGGGGAAAACAAATCAATTACGACTTGCTGGATGCATGAGCCACATCCTTCCGGGTCCCAGGTTTTCCAGCGGCGTTCCAGAGTAGAACCCCTTCTGACAATCATTCATGCTTTATTCTTTCTTTTGCACGAACAAGAGAATCCAAGGAGTCCTTGAAAACACCAACCTCTGATCCTGGGGAAATGGAGTCAGATGGCTTTAATTTTGCCTCCAACAACAAACCCAACCGGCCAAGAACGGAACAGCCTGCCAGATTCTGATAAGCTGTCAGCTTTTGCTCTACCCTAAATCATACAAAAGAGGTGGAGGCAAGAGCATTAAGGCTTGTTGCGCGGAGCTTAGAGAACACCAGTCAAAGACTACATGACCTTTAAAAAGATCTAATAGTTTTCTCTGGTCACCCTCCTCAAAGGGGATTAAATTGCCCCTCTTGAAGGATTTATTCGAATCACAAAAGCTGCTTGTGTTCACACTTCCCATATCTGGATCCTTTTGCGTGCTGGATGCTGTTGAACCCCATGCTGCTATGGACACATCTGTGCTGCTTATTCCTGCTGTTCCAGCCAAACTCCTCTCTTGGCTGAACGGCAATAGGTCCAGACTAGAGATTGCTCACCATAAAGATTTGCAAAAGCTTTTGTTGTGGAACTTCATAGCTTTGCGGCTGCAAAGAGAAAAGAAGCACGATGCTAAAAGCAAGCTACCAAACAATCTAGATTTGTAGATAAATGGTGTGTCAGTGTAGTGCTTAGAGGGTCGGCCTAGAACATTGGAGACCCAGGTTCGAATTCCTAGTTTGCTGCGGAGCTCAATGGGTAACCTTGGGCCAGTCACCACCTCATAGCACAAACCTACTTTGCAGGGTTGTTGTGAAGATTATAATGGAAAGAGAGAGAACTGTATGCCACATTGAGCTCCTTGGAGGGAAGGTAATAATAAATAAATTTTGATTTTTAAAAATGAACATAAACTAGTCTTTCCAAAAGCCTCTCAGAGGGTTAGGGAGGCCACCTCCAATTGGAAACAACAAGTAAGTAGTGCCAGATTTCAAACACCTCTCAAGTCCCATAGGACACAGTCATTAATGTTTGGTACGCCTACTAACCCTCTGGAAGGATACCTTCCAACATTTTTCTGATAAAAACAGTGCCGTCCTCTCCAACATTTCTCTGATGAAAATAGGGACGTCCTATTCCATATCCTCCAACATTTCTCCAGTGAAAACAGAGATGTCCCCTCCAACATTTCCCTGACGAAAATAGGGACATCCTATTCCATACCCTCCAATATTTCTCTGATGGAAATAGGGATGTTCTACCACACCCTCCAACATTTCTCCAATAAAAATAGGGATGTCCTGTCAGTGTTTGAAAAAGGAAAGGTTCTGACCTCCTTTTTACTCCTTTGCCTAGTCCTCAGACCTTAGTTGGCGCAAAAGAGTCTTTGAGAAAGAGTATTCTTGCAGAGTATTGCTGCTTTTATTCTTAAAAAGTCTTCTTCTCCAACCACAACCGACAGCTTTTACACACACCAAACGCAACCAGTTTTCTACCATCCAACCAACCCACACCAAACACTAACATTGACCACTCTATATATACAGGTACAATTTGGAGAAAGGTTGCATGAGTCGTTGTAGGCTGCTGACTCATGCTGACTTAGTTCTTTTAGCATTAAAGAAACAGGGGCCAATTTTTAGCCATGACATGTCCTAAGGAAAAGCAGGAGATTGTGGGATCAAATCAGAAACCCAGGTTTCTGTAAATCTGGGACTGTCCCTGGAAAATAGGGACACTTGGAGGGTCTGGGAAAGGCTTTTTTGGGATGGATACACGGAGGTACAGAGGATGCAGTGGGGAAGTTAGGAAGAGAAAGACTGGTTTCATGAGTGCCTTTTACTCCCGTCATGTTTGATACAACCCAGTACCCCTTCCCTTTCCATTTCTCCATATTTAATTCATTGCAGTGCTGCATTTGACAAAACTCTATATCCTTGCCTGAATTTATTGAATTAAAAGTTATCTTTTCTTTAGGATCTTATGCCTTATATCAACCAGCCTTTTAAGTAGTGATCTTAATACAGTACACAGGCATTTTCATTTCAGTGTCAATTAAATCCATTATGCTTAACAGTTTATATCATGCTCTATCTTATGTGGTGTTAAGTTAGGGCCAGCCTATCCATGAGGCAGGCTGAGGCACCTGCCTCAGGTGGTAAAACACCAAGAGGTGGCAGCCTATCCACCCTACCTTTGGAGAAGTGGCGGCGGCAGCTTTCAGCAAGATTGTTAGAGATCACACTGAAATCTCATGATATCTTGAGCTTCTTCTTCTTTGGTGATCACTCATAGCTGAGTAAGGTTGTCTTCCATGAACATGGTTTGAACAGTGAGTTCGTAAGTGACTGTGGAGGCCAATTCTAGATCCACAAGTCCTTCCACAGTGGGAACATAGGTTTCTGGGTGAGAGTTGATCACGGTGAGGGTTTGCCAAGCGTGCCTTCTTCTTAGGATGTTTCTCCCTTTTGTCCTGAGTTTGAGCATCTTCGAAGCTCATGACATCTTTGGTAAAGGCTGTTCTCCAGTTGGAGCACTCACAGGCCGGTGTTTCCCAGTTGTCGTTGTTTATGCTACATTTTTTAAAGATTTGCCTTGAGAGAGTCTTTAAACCTCTTTTGTTGACCACCAGCATTACGCTTTCCATTTTAAAGTTCGGAATGGAGTAGTTGATTGGAAGACGATAATCAGGCATCCGCATAACATGACCAGTCCAACGAAGTTGATGTTGAAGAATCATTGCTTCAACACGGGTGATATTTATTTCTTCCAGGACACTGGCATTAGTTCTCCTGTCTTCCCAAGTGATGTGTTAAACACCGTTGATGGAATCTTTCAAGGAGCTGGAGATGGCGTTTATAAGTGGTCCATGTTTCACAAGCATACAGTAAGGTTGGTAGTACAGTAGCTTTGTAAACAAGCATTTTGGTTTCCCTGCGAATGTCCTGGTCCTCAAACACTCTGCACTTTAACTGGGAGAAAGCTGCACTTGCAGAGCTCAGGTGGTGCTGGATTTTGGCATCAATGTCGGCCCTTGTGGAAAGATAACTGCCCAGGTAGGAGAAGTGATAGACAAGTGATAGACACTGTCCAACATTACACCATTGAGTTGGATTTGCTGCAGAGTGGTTGTTTTGTGCTTGTTGGTACAGCACCTTGGTTTTTGGGATGTTGAGCGATAGGCCAAGCTTTTTGTAAGCTTCAGCGGATATATTTAGGATGGTTTGGAGGTCATCTTCTGAGTGTGCACACACTACGTTGTCATCAGCATACTGAAGCTCTATGATGGAAGTCTTGAGCACTCTGCAAGATCTTGCCAGAACCCATCGTCATCAGCACTGGTTTGTGGGCACTGCCCACAACCCAGGTAAGGGAGGCTTCAGTGGGAAGGGGGAGCTTTGGGGTGGTGCTGGGGGTACGGCACCTTCCTGTTTTACCCCAGGCTGCAAAATAGGATGTGCCGCCCCTGTGCTAACTAAATTGACCCCCCATACAGTTCCACCAGATACATTTAAATTACAACCCTCTTTCAAACTATAACACAATACCAAAGTGATACCAAGAAAAACGAAGCCTTATATATATAAAAACTTTTTCTTTCATTGAGTAACTGGACCTATCTGTACATATAACATTTTAAAGGTGATTTGAAGAACTAATACAAAATATTTCCCGCATCTCTTTTTAATTCCGTTTTCAGCCTCTTGTAAGTCAGATAGCAACTGATATATTATTGATAATGCCGTTACCTGGCACATCGTTATAACAAATTATTTGGGAGCGAAAAGCTTTCGGCAAACATGTAGAATTAATTGTATTTGCAGATCAGGATCTGCAGTGTAAGCTGGTCTTGTCTCTCGGCTGTTAGCGCTTAACATTTAATTAGTCAAGAACTTTGCTCATTAAACAGAAGTGTTCATCAATGAAAAGAGAACCTGCTGAATAGAGAGATATGGTGGACTCTTAGCAGGTTTAGGCTGAAATTGAAAGTGGCAGGGGAATTGCAAAAGCATTTAGCTGCCTCAGCCAATGCCTTGCTTGGTGCATGTTGGCAGAGTGGAACTGAGGGTGGGGGGAAAGCTATGGGTCAATTTCTGGCCCCGCCCTTTCCATTGAAATCAATGGGAGGAGAAGGAGAGGCACACCTGCCTTTTTCACCTGGTTTGGGGTGTGTACTAAGGGACCAGGAATCCTTAAAAACCGTTGGAACCTATCCGCTTCCAAGAATACCCCTGGCATATCCCTTTGTGGTCCTTCAGATGTCAGAGCTCTGACACTGGTTGGGGCACACTTTGGAAGAGCATGAAGCATCAAAGAGGTAGGCTCCTACATCAGATCTCCCTCTCCAGGATTGGACCTCTACCTCCATTGTCCAATACTCTTCCAGGTACCATAGATGTCGCTTAGAGTTCAGATTTTACTTCTGTAGTAGTTTAGTAGTAGAGAATCAGAAGAATCTTTATTTGCATCAGCCACTAGCCATAGCAATAAAATAAAATGTACTGAAGATAGAGGTAAAAACTTAACTATAGAAAATTCGTTTTGGGGGTTTACATCAATAATCAAATAATAGATCTTCTTCTAATTGCCCCCGCTAAAAACCTTGCAGTTTTTGCTGTCACCTGATCATCTTGAACTGCTAAAAGAAAGGACATGGTAGCAATGGTTTAGCGACCCGGCATGAACAATAGTAGAGGGGTAATAACCTCACTCCTCAAATCTTTATGAAGAGTGCAAGCCAGAAGCACATAAGCCACTGACACATAGTACAGTGGTACCTTGGGTTACAGACGCTTCAGGTTACAGACTCCGCTAACCCAGAAATAGTACCTCGGGTTAAGAACTTTGCTTCAGGGTGAGAACAGAAATTGCGCAGCGGCGGCATGGTGGCAGTGGGAGGCCCCATTAGATAAAGTGGTGCCTCAGGTTAGGAACAGTTTCAGGTTAAGAACTGACCTCCAGAACGAATTAAGTTCTTAACCCGAGGTATGTTTTAATTTAATTTTCATTTTCTCCTCAGGCATGGAACCTAAAAACAGCCACTAACCCTCTATTCCAGTGTTTCATATCAAGTCCAAAGGGCATACAATTGTTCCTTTAAATTCTCGGGAGCATAAGGTAGGATGGCTACTTCCAACCATGAACATGATTTATAAAGGGTTATGCAAATGAAGGAGGAAGGCAAGGCTGGCTCAGTGGCTGCCATTTCCTTCTATGGAACAAAGTGAGCTGCTTACTGATTTTTTTATGCGGTACCTCTTCCACTCAATTTGTGAACTTGGTGTAGATTTACATGGCTTAGATCTCATGAAATTTACCACATGGGAATCCTGTCTCTTGCAAGTTCTGTCCCCATTGATGGGCTCCAATTATGTACAATGAAAAGAATTAAACTGAGATAAATGGCATAATATAGATGGGGGAAAAACAGCCTATTACATGATAGTTATATTAATTGCATGCCCTTGGGAATCCATCTTTAGATGTTTATTGCAGAAGATTCCCACCTGCAATGCTTCTTGGTCTAGACTGTAGAGCAAATTTACATGGACCCAGCATGTATCTTGGCCACAGGTACATTTTCAAGGTATGCTCTGCATCAGAAGCGGGGTAAAGGAAATTGTTGATGCGGCTGTTGCTTAGCAATCTTTTGGAAGTTTAGGTGAAATCTGTTAATTAGTTGGAGAAAGACTGTGACCTTTGATGTGTTGCTTAGCAACCGACAGCACCAGGGATATGGAAACGGGGAAAGTTTTGTTCAGGAGGATACAGTGAGAGTCAGTCTGAGTCAAGACATTAAACAAAAAACGTGGACTCCTTGGAGGATGTATTTACAAAACGTTTTGAAGCTTTGCCAATGTCAGAATTTCTATAGGAAATAACATTGGGGCTCACTCTCTGAATGCCAGCACCTTTCCCACAATAGAAGCAAATTAATTGCTTTGCAAGTTCCTCTTAATTCGGTTTTGGAATCCAGGACAACACTAATTATGATGTGGTTAATCAGATGAAGAGTAAATTAAAAGTTTGATTTGCCTATTAATTTTTTTAAGCATATCTCTTGATCAGGGGTCAGCAAACTTTTTATGCGGGGGGCTGGTTCACTGTCCCTCAGAACTTGTGGTGGGCTGGACCATGCGCGCGCATGCACACATACATGTCCACACGCACATGCCTTCCCTCCTTCCCTCAGAGACAGAGCAGCTGAGATACTCACCGTGTTCAGACAGAGCGGATTGGGCTGGGCTGGGGAGGGGGTGCCCTGCTGGTGCTGGGTCTCGGCTTGCGTGGAGGGGCCACAGCCGCCCTGCTGGGAAGGGCCCCTACCCCAGGGTGTCCATGACCGTGCTGCTAATGTGCCACCACCCAGCAGCACAGAAGAGTCCTCCTCCTGTGGTGTAGTGGTTAGGAGCAATGGACTTGTAATCTGGTGAACCGGGTTCGCTTCCCCACTCGTCCACATGCAGCTGCTGGGTGACCTTGGGCTAGTCACACTTCTCTGAAACCTCTCAGCCTCACTCAACTCACAGAATGTTTGTTGTGGGGGAGGAAGGGAAAGGAGATTGTTAACCGCTTTGAGACTCCTTAGGGTAGTGATAAAGCGGGATATCAAATCCAAACTCTTTTTCTTCTTCCTCCTCCCTCCTCGCAGGCTCTCTTCCTGCCCCTTCGCTTCTCCTCCCTTCTCGGAGCTAGACATCAGCAAGGCGCCCTGCCATGCACCTCACCCTGATTGGAGCAGCGAGTCTCCGGAAGGGGTCAGCATGGGCCGCCGGCTCATGTCAAACAGGCCAATGGAGGGGAGGCCTAAGGTTGCTAAGGCTTCAGATTGGCCAGCGTCATGGAAGTCTGAGCAATCTCAGAGCATGCTGGGAGAAATAGTCCAGGGTTTTGGGTTTTTTTTGCAAAAAATAGTGCCCGAAAAAGAAAGAAAAAGAAAAGGCAATCGCGCCGATCCAAGTGGCGATTGCAGAACCATTTGCGGGCTGGATTCAGAGGGCAATTGGGCCAGATCCGGCCCACGGACCGTAGTTTGCCGACCCCTACTTTTGATCCTTCAGCTCTAAATCTGACTATAGGAATTTGTTTTTAAAACACAAACTTCTGACTTTTGTGGCGCAGCAACTTCAAAAGTGTTGATGCCTGGATAGTTTTAGAGCAGCTCTTTGTGGGTTAGCAGACTGCAGAAAAACGAGACCACCTGGTGGCTTGGAATTTTAAATACAGTGCTGGGCAGACATTTAACGAAAGATGCTTAAGAGTGCTACAGCAGGCATGTCCAACTTCAAGTAGGCTGTGATCTACCATCCAGTATAAAAAACCGACAGTGATCTACCACACTCTCCCATTGTCATTCTTCAACTTAAACATATTACAGTATATTTGGCTGAGCTTATGATAGAAATGATAGAAATAATAACAAATGATAGTCACTTCCATAAAACCTGAAAAGTTCATTATAAATCAATATATTTTTAAAATACATGCTTTGTATACTTGTAATTGTGTGTTTCTATAATACTTAAAGAAAATAATATTGAGGACAGGGTCCTCCATAATCAGTGGTTCACAGAAGCTCGTGCCGTAATAAAAGTCTTTAAAGTACCCCAGGACTCTTGCTGTTTTCCAAATGAGTCAGGGGCACATGTCAACCACAGTGGTTTCCCCCATAGTTCGAAACTCAACTGCAGAGTTGACAGCCTTCAAGCACCACCTTAAGAACTGGACGAAACCTGTAGAAGCCCTTTCCCCTGATATGCCCTGTGTTGATGCAAACAGCAGTTGTTGTTTTAAACAGATCTACAACCCAATCCTATACATCTCTACCCACAAGTAGGTCCCATTGATCTTACGTAGTTACATGTAGGATTGGAGCTTGGAATCTGCACTGGTTTCAGTCTCGGTCTTAAAATGGAGTGTAGGAACAGCTAGGAGACTTAGAATCATAGAATCATAGAGTTGGAATAGACCACAAGGGCCATCGAGTCCAACCCCCTGCCAAGCAGGAAACACCATCAGAGCACTCCTGACATATGGTTGTCAAGCCTCTGCTTAAAGACCTCCAAAGAAGGAGACTCCACCACACTCCTTGGCAGCAAATTCCACTGTTGAACAGCTCTTACTGTCAGGAAGTTCTTCCTAATGTTTAGGTGGAATCTTCTTTCTTGTAGTTTGGATCCATTGCTCCGTGTCCGCTTCTCTGGAGCAGCAGAAAACAACCTTTCTCCCTCCTCTGTGTGACATCCTTTTATATATTTGAACATGGCTATCATATCACCCTTTAACCTCCTCTTCTCCAGGCTAAACATGCCCAGCTCCCTTAGCCGTTCCTCATAAGGCATCGTTTCCAGGCCTTTGACCATTTTAGTTGCCCTCCTCTGGACACGTTCCAGTTTGTCAATGTCCTTCTTGAACTGTGGTGCCCAGAACTGGACACAGTACTCCAGGTGAGGTCTGACCAGAGCAGAATACAGTGGCACTATTACTTCCCTTGATCTAGATGCTATACTCCTATTGATGCAGCCCAGAATTGCATTGGCTTTTTAGCTGCCGCGTCACACTGTTGGCTCATGTCAAGTTTGTGGTCAACCAAGACTCCTAGATCCTTTTCACATGTACTGCTCTCAAGCCAGGTGTCACCCATCTTGTATTTGTGCCTCTCATTTTTTTTGCCCAAGTGCAATACTTTACATTTCTCCCTGTTAAAGTTCATCTTGTTTGTTTTTGCCCAGTTCTCTAATCTGTCAAGGTGGTTTTGAAGTGTGATCCTGTCCTTGAACAACAACCTTCTGCAGGAACGCATGAGCCATGTTGGTGACCTCTCATCATCACTACTTTGTGACCTTTTAGTTAGCCTGATAAAGGTATTATCCTGCTGTTGGCTTTTTAATTTATGGGGCAGTTCATATCTCAGTAATATAATGGGCATTGACTTCCCCCTGCTCAACCTATATATTCCTTTGGGTGTTTGTTTTCTGCAAGTACAATGCATGTCATGAGATTTGCTCAACTTTGTGATTTATCAGAAGTTCTCCCAACAACGACTACAGGGGAAATTAAATCCATAACTTTTTTTAAAAGAAAAAAAATTCTGCTTATAAGTGGCGATTTCTTTATTAGCAGCTGTTCATCAGCGTGCACAAGAAAAAAAACAAGCTATAGGGTGCCATCAACAGCTGATACCTCTTATGGTAAAATAATGACACTGAATATTTTCACCCAATTACAATTCTTATATTTCAGTGGCTGGCAGTGAGAAATAAATGAGGCTACATATTGGCATGAACTCAAAGGTGTTCTATAGCATTGTGCTGTAATATAAACTTGCATAATCAAGTGAATTAATTAACAGATATCATTCTAGTGTTTCCAAGGACACGTCTATAGCTACACACTTAAAGCAGGTCGATCCCAGTGTAGTCTCCATAGCTTCCCCCACAGAATCTTGGGAACTGTAGTTTGATGAGGGTGCTGAGAATTCTCTGTTAAAGTTCGGCCTCCTCCCCGACAGAACCATAGCCCCATGTTTTCCCTAAGGAGACAAAATGGCCACTGAAACAATTTACATCTTTAGAGATCTCCTGTGAAACTCTAGGCCCACACTGGAGGTTTTTAAGCAGAAGGTGGATAGCCATCGGCCATGTTTGATCTAGTTGAGATTCCTGCATTGCGGGAATTGTGCTAGATGACCCTCAGGGTGCCTTCCAATTCTACGATTCCATGATTATATATAGGTAAAGGTAAAGGGACCCCTGACCATTAGGTCCAGTCGTGACCGACTCTGGGGTTGCGGCGCTCATCTCGCTTTATTGGCAGAGGGAGCCGGCGTACAGCTTCCAGGTCATGTGGCCAGCATGACTAAGTCGCTTCTGGCGAACCAGAACGCCGTTTACCTTCCTGCCGGAGCGGCACCTATTTCTCTACTTTCACTTTGATGTGCTTTCGAACTGCTAGGTTGGCAGGAGCAGGGAGCGAGCAACGGGAGCTCACCCCGTCGCGGGGATTCAAACCGCCGACCTTCTGATCGGCAAGTCCTAGGCTCTGTGGTTTAACCCACAGTGCCACCTGCGTCCCCATGATTATATATAGTGTGGCTTAATTCACACTCTTGGAGCATCTGGAGCTTACTTGCTCTGTCTTGTTTTTGTTTGGCATTTCATTCTGATCCTTTCCTTTTTTCCTGTGTGCAGCTTCCATTAGCACAACTTAGTTGCCTGCTCTGGGGTGGTTTCCCTCCCTCTGTGTAATCTGGGAGTGCTCCTAGATCCAATACTGTCACTGGAAGCACAAGTGACACAGGGATAGCCTGGCCATGGCGACCCATAGCACTGGTAACTTCGCAGCTGGATTTCTGCAATGCAATCTATGTGGGGCTGCCCTTGATGTTGTTGCTTTGGAAATAATGTTGCTTTGGGAAGAGAGGCGAACTGGTGCCAGTGTACTGGAAGAAGCAATGATCACCAGTGCCGAAGCAATGTTTCTTCAACGTCGACTTCGTTGGACTGGTCATGTTGTGTGAATGCCTGATTCTCGTCTTCCAAAGCAACCACTCTATTCCAAACTTTAAAATGGTGGTCAACAATGCTGGTGGTCAACAAAAGAGGCTTAAAGACTCTCTCAAGGCAAATCTAAAAAAATGCCCCCCAATTTATCGTCATACCAGCTGTGTGAGGTTTTGGCTAATTTGAGAGATAGTGACTAGGTTTGGGTCACCTAGTGAGCTTCATAGCTAAGTGGAGATTTGAACCCCAGTTTCCCTGCTCCTAAACTGTTGTAACCTGCCCTGGGACAAGTGTAAAAGGGGGGGGGCGGTTACTGGGCTGTTGTTTTTATTTTGATTATATATTTTTTTGTTTTATGTTTTGATTTGATTATACCTGAAGGAGTATCTCCACCTGCATTGCTCAGCCCAGACACTGAGGCCCAGCTCTGAGGGCCTTCTGGCGGTTCCTTCGCTGCGAGAAGTGGGGTTACAGGGAACCAGGCAGAGGGCCTTCTCTGCAGTGGCGCCCACCCTGTGGAATGACCACCCGTCAGATGTCAAGGAGATAAACAACTGCACAACTTTTAGGAGACATCTGAAGGCAGCCCTATATTGGGACGTTTTTGATGTTTTATATTTTATTATGTTTTTAAATGTTTTGGAGGCTGCCCAGAGGGACTGGGGCAACCCATCCAGATGGGGGGACATTATTATTATTATTATTATTATTATTATTATTATTATTAAGCTTCACCTGTAGAACTGCATCATTTGACTTCAGACTATTGCCTCAATCATGTTATCTCTCCTTTGAGGATTAAAAAAAAAAATACATTCAGGTTTATTTTCTGCGCAGTCCCCCTCCCCCTAATTTAGACAGAGCTCAGGGGAAACCTCCCCCAGGACCCCTCTCTCCCGTAAAACCTGCCTGAGGGGAATTTGATACACCCGACTCTATGAGATTTCCCTGTCTTGCAACTGCAGAACAGTATTGCTGTAATTCAATTTATAGCACCGTAAAGCATAGCATTAACAACAACAGGAGCCAGAGACCAAAATCATAATGGGATTTATGCAAATCTCGTTTCCACCTGAGATGCCATGGAATTACTATTTGTAGAAATTATCATTTCATCTTGTCACATTGTAACATGTTGTGTCCTGGCTTTTGTACCTTGTTTCACCATGTTAAATCCTGAGGAGGAGGTGGAAATGACTGCAATATAAAAACTCATCGGCCTGCAGTGAGCTTTGCATTTCAGGCAAACAAGCCGTGTCAGACGTCAGGAATATGCCAGATGGTGTGAGAGATGTTGCTTTGAGGTTCCTACCTGGGGCAGGAAGGATGAAGGATTTTCTTGTTAGGAAAAAATAAAAGTGAGAGAGATTGATGCTTATCCATTCTCTGTTTATACTTCTGAAACCTGTCTTCTGTTTAAAAACAACTGGGGAGCCAACAGTGAATTGGGTGCTTTCCCTGCAGTCTCAGCACCTGAGATTTATTTATTTTTTGCCTCCAACACTTCACAGCTTTTCAATTTTCCATAAGGGTGTATGAAATCCCAGGGTCATGCAGATGTCAATCAAAATCCCCATACTGTGCTTTCCTTCCCCTTCTCTCCCCTGCTTGATTATTTACCCCTCATATCTCTGTTTTGAGCTCATCACCTCTGGGTGTTGTCTAAGAAAATGCTGTGTTTCTGGCTCCAGCTGTTTGCAAATTACACATTCCTGGCAGTGGAGCTGACAAAAGGTTGCCATTTCTTGTTTTATCTGGTGGAACCCATGTTCGACATTTGGCTCCTTCCAATGGTGGTGAGATCACGGGACGCTCCTTTCTCTTCTGTTTCGGAAAAAGGAACCAGTACTAAAAAAGAGGTTTCATCGTTACTGCCATGCTGTATCATTTGTTTGTTAGCAGCAAAAGGAGAGGCAAAACCGAAAATGATTCTGAAAAGTGCCTTTATCAGGTAATAATAGCCCTACTAAATCAGTGAGAGAGATGCTTCTTTGACAGGAGAATCGTGCAGTCTTCTGGCCCCGAGGAAGGTTGTCATCAGAGAAAATGCACTCGACATTTTATTGTTTTATTAAGAGCTATTGTTATTTGATGAATATATTCTTTCCGGTGCTGTCTTTGAGACTTTTCTGTTGTTTCCTTTGAAGCACTGGGCAGGTGGGAATCATAAAATCGTAAAACCACAACGCTTGCATGGAATGTTGTGGGAAATTAAAAGTGTGGCTAAACTCAGCTGGCTGGTGATGCTCAGAGTGCCAGGTTAGGAGGGGAAATTGAGGTAGGCATCAGGTATTGGGCCCTTGCCAGGCTTATGAGCTCCTGGCACCTGTCCAAGGATTTCACACACTGACCCTGGACCTGCATAACATATTTGCACCAAGCCTGCACAATTTCTCACATATCCAACCAAATGCCACCCACTAGGTAAATTGGGTCCTCCCTTAAAGAGGGCATGTATTGCGGTGAGACCTGGAAACCGATACCCTGTGTTGTGGGTGGGTACGATTGGTCAGCCACAACACCCGATTGGTAGGTCCCTTGTAGCTGGGTGCAATCTGGCTAATGGGACGCAGTCCAAACGGTTTGAGGAACCTATTTAAACCCATGCACGTGACCCAGAGCTTCCTCTTTCGGCGCGTGCATTCGGAACACCCGCCCACCTCTCCCTACTTTTAGGGCTTTGTGCTTGACCTTGCTATGCCGTTGTGTGTTGTCTGTCATTGGGACGGGCATGGCAGGAATTTCCGCACTTTGCTGATTTGCTGTTGCCATTTCACCTGCCGCGTAGTAAATCGTCACAATTTGTAAGGTTGCGGATAGGCTCTGGTTCAGGTGAAAGGGATAGGAGAACACTCTCGCCATCCCTATGTGAAGGGTATTCTGTTAAAGGAATCCAGGGACTCGATGGTTTGGTCAACCCCTGAGAGGGGGTTGTGCCCGTGCCTGAGTCCAGGGGACATTTGGGTGGAAGAGATAGCCTGTTCCTGGCTTTCCGCTTATCCAGGTGTTTACCCTTGGCTGACCTATGCTGGAGCCGTGGGTCAGCGCTACCTGCATGGCAGGGAGCTAGTTGAACCAGAGTCTATGCAGCCAGTCACTTTCTGTAATCAATAAAGTTGTGGCTTAAATTCTGCCAAAAACCAAAACCAAAATTTGAGTCAAGTGTGAATTTATTTAGGGGGGAGGTTTCTGGGTCTGAACACACAAAAGGTAAAGGTAAAGGACCCCTGGACGGTTAAGTCCAGTCAAAGGCGACTATGGGGTTGCAGCGCTCATCTCGCTTTCAGGCCGAGGGAGTCGGTGTTTGTCCACAGACAGCTTTCTGCGTCATGTGGCCAGCATGACTAAACTGCTTCTGGTGCAATGGAACACCGTGACAGAAACCACAGGGCACGGAAACACCGTTTACCTTCCCACCGGAGTGGTACCTATTTATCTACTTGCACTGGTGTGCTTTCAAACTGCTAGGCTGGCAGGAGCCCGAACAGAGCCATGGGAGCTCACCCTGTCGCGGGGATTTGGACTGCCAACCTTCTGATCGGCAAGCCCAAGAGGCTCAGTGGTTTAGATCACAGCGCCACCCGCATCCCACTAGACATGCATTGTGGCCTGTCAGGTGCCTGACACCCTGCCTGCCCTGTTATTGTTTTTTGGGAGTCCCAGCATGTAGCAGAACCAGGAATTTCACAGATCCTCATGAGGAATGTGTTCACAGAGTAGTTCCATATCCTAGAAACGATACCATTTTTGGCATTGCACCATCAACCTTCGGTGTGAAAGGAATAAATATGTACGCCATGACTGCTTCTTATCCACTTGCACGTATTCTGCAGTTGTACAAGCTTTTTTCTGTGTTTTATTTTTGGTCAGTTTTGTGTGCCTGCCCAGATTCTGTGATACCAGATGTCCCTGTTTTTGTTTTGCTAGAACTTTTCATTAGGCTTGCTGCTGATTTCTGTGGTGTCTGAAATTCAGCATTTTACCGGTCTTTTGATATTGTGATCTATTCTAGTTGTGAACCGGAGCCACAGTCACACTTTTGCAATGGTCAGTCTTGATTAGCATGTGATGGGGTGAACTCACAGGAGCACTGTGCACTTATTCCAGATTGTTTAGTGCCAAGTTCCACAATGACATGTTTTTGACAGAACTGACTTGTCCTACTACAGGCTGGCAAACTCATCTTTCGCAATGGAATAATTGAAAACATAGTTAGCTTTTTAGGAATTCATTGTAATATTCTCTGTTTAAAGTTAAGCAGGTCAGAGGAGCCGGACAAGAAAAAAAAATATTAGGAAGTTTTGTAAGGAGGACTTTACAAATTATTGTTAAAGGGATTAAAAATAGTGCGGGGCCTGCAAGACAGAGCTGTTCCACCTGGCCTTTGGTTTGTACTCAGTCTGACCCTTATGTTTCCCTCCCCTTATGGTTTTGATCTATGGGCTACTTTTAAAATGAGACTGCATTTTAACCTGTATTTTAAATTGTTTCCCCCCCTCTATTATGTTTACTGTAATTTTACTGGTGTTAGCCACACTGAGCCCGGCTCTGGCTGGGGAGGATGGGGTATAAATAAAATTTATTATTATTATTATTTGATTTATAGCAATAAGTATAGTAACAAAATGCAAAATCAAAAAGGAATTAATAAAACCATTAGAAGGGGTTGAGGAAAGTCTTAGGCTGTGATAGCCAAAGATTTGTTACGTTGTTTTTTGAGTTGTTATGTTGGAAAATATGTGCAAGCAAACACACACACACACACATATATATATATGAAACAATTTTATTACTAAAGAACTAAAAATAACAGGTCTTGACTTATTTTGCTAGACCTGCCTTCTGCTCGGGTCTGACTTACCAAACTAGATACAGAATGTGCAATTCAAGGTACATCACTTTTATCTTTACACTCATGGGTTTTTTTTTAAAAAAACAACAGTCTGGCATGATAGTCTTGTCAGTTTTGGATTTCTACCCCCTCAGCCCCTCTAAGTGTCCCTATTTTCCAGGGACAGTCCTGGATTTACAGAAGTTGTCCTGGTTTCTGATTTGATCCCGGAATGCCCTGCTTTTCCTTAGGACGTCCCTATTTTCATCAGGGAAATATTGGAGGGTATGGACATCTCTATTTTCTTTGGAGGGTAGGGGTTATGTGATCCCTGAGCCACGGATATAAGTAACTGTACAACCTTTAGAAGACATCTGAAGGCGGCCCTGTATTGGGAAGTTTTTTTAATGTTTAATGTTTTAGTATGTTTTTATATACCGGTATGTTGGAAGCTGCCCAGAGTGGCTGGGCAACCCAGCCTGATGGCCAGGGAATAATAGTAATAATAATAATAATGGAATAGGATGTCCCTGTTTTCATCAGAGAAATGTTGGAGGGTATGCCCTGAGTTGATTCAAAGACCACCATGGATGGTTCTGTGAGCAGTGCTTTTGCCTAGCCTGGAGTTTGCAGTAGGAAGACATTATCAGGTAGACTGAACACACACACACACACACACACACACACACACACAGAAGTGGTCTTTCACTTAGTTTTCCTTCCAGGTTCCTGCCCTGCTTTCCTCCTAAACACAGACAGAAAGGGGGGGGAGGGTGGATCCCTCACTATGATGCAGAGGATGCATTGTTGCTCATTGGCTCGTAGCATTCAAGCATCTGATCCAGTCTCCATATATGGAATGAAGCTTCCATTGAAATCAGTGGGACAAGTTTGTCATGAGTTAAGCCCTGGAAAAGACCCTGATGTTGGGAAAGATGGAGGGCACAAGGAGAAGGGGACGACAGAGGGTGAGATGGTTGGATAGTGTTCTTGAAGCTACCAGCATGAGTTTGACCAAACTGCGGGAGGCAGTGGAAGACAGAAGTACCTGGCGTGCTCTGGTCCATGGGGTCACGAAGAGTCGGACACAACTAAACGACCAAACAACAACAACAAGCCCCATTGTCTTTGGTGGGACCTCAGTTCAACTGATGTAGTCAACAACCAACTCCATGATAATAGTCCAGTAAAGTCCAGTGAAGACTCTTTAAAAGCAGTTTTACAGAGAACTACAAAATATAATATATAATAATTTCTATATGATTTAAAATTATCAGAAGGCTAGAATTGAGGGGGAAATCAAATTCGGAACCAGCAGGACCAGACTTTCCTAAAGGAATGGAAGAAACTTTCGACGTATTTGGAAAGCAGCTGTAACCAATTGACATCGCTTGTAGGGTTAAAAGAAGTAAGGAGTAATATATAAATTATTGTGAAGAGAATTAAGAATAGGTATTAAGATTTGAATTTATAGCAATAATTGTAGTAGCAAAATGCGTAATTAGAAAGGATTTTAGAAAACCATCAGTTGGGGTTGAAGGAAGTCTTAGGCTGTGATAGCCAAAGATTTTGAAATGATGTTTAAAAGGATGATATGCTGGAAAATATGTGTAAAAAACAATAAAAAATACTTATTAAAAAAAAGAAAGAAATTGAGGGGGAAACTCTAATACAAAGCATCATTGAAAATTTACCCCCATATGGGGGATTGAACCTGCAACCTTGGCATTATCAGCACCACACGCTAACCAACTGAGCTATCCAGGCTTGATCCTTTCTCATCTCCTTAGTTCCCAACAGTGATGGCTTGGTCATCTCTTCCTGATTTTTCCTAACTGCCAACAATTAAGAAGTATTCCTGTCAGAAGAACAAGTCAGCTATGCACTTGGCTCTCAAATTATCCCTGAAAGTATATTTTGCTTTTATGAACAGCAATCTCTTCCTTAGCTTGGATGGATAAGAAGAATATACTTTCCTCATTTATGAGAAAACTTGTATTATGGCCTCAAGGCTCTTGTTTAATAAAGAAAGAAAGCTTTTCCAGATCCACACAATCTTATTTTTGAAAGAGAAAATAACCCTATCATTACACTCTGTGACACTGATCTGCGGTATAGAGCGAAGAAAACGAACTCTTAAATGGTGCCATATTAAATATTTGAAGTCAAAAAATAATATATATATAGCTATTTCCTGCAAGAGCTGTTATTAGAGGCTTATGAAGAAGTGTTCTTTGTAGAAATAAAGATGCGTGGTAATGGACCTGTAAGCCGATTTGCATGACACATTTAAATTACTACCTCATTGCTCGATATAATCTATCTCTGGAGACATTTCAAATAAAGTACATTTTGAGAGAGAAGTATATGTTTAATATCAGTACTGTCCAATGTGAATCAGATTGTTTTCAGCATTTGAAGAATGTAGAATGAAGGCAGATTAGTGATGGTGGGGTGATGGCAACAACCCCTTGATGGGAAACAAGAAATAGGGATTGCAAGTTGTTCGTTAACCAGATTTAGCATGGAAGCTTTATGGATTTTACGTTAGCAATGAAATGCAGAAATCTAGAATGGCCTTTTTTTGGGAACATGTGGGGATCTAAAGGTCTTCACAAAAGATCAAAATCAGGATTGCTGCAACTGACCAGAAACAGAACTTTTTTTGGTTTGATCTGGTCCTATACTTGTACAGTGGTACCTCGGGTTACAGATGTTTCAGGTTACAGATGCTTCAGGTTGCAGACTCCGCTAACCCAGAAATATTACCTCAGTTTAAGAACTTTGCTTCAGGATGAGAACAGAAATTGCACAGCGGCGGCGCGGGAGGCCCCCATTAGCTAAAGTGGTGCTTCAAGTTAAGAACAGTTTCAGGTTAAGAATGGACCTCCAGAACGAATTAAGTTCTTAACCCGAGGTACCACTGTAATAGGTAATAGCAGCATAATCTGCAAAAATCAGCCAAATGAAGCATCTCATGCCAAGAAGGTAAGCATTATGACCTGCTGACCAGTGTTATCTAGACAAAAGCAGATAAATGTATAAAGCATACCTTATAGGTCGCTTCAGTTGTCTTCTTCAGAAGCCTACAAAAACCTGGACCTAGATCTCTTATAACACTATAAGTGCATTAGCTCTATAGATTATTCATTTAAACACAAAAAAATGCAAATAAGGACTTGAATAATGTAAAAAAATATACAGGTGCCTATTATTTATTTGTCATGCTTTTAAAACACCCTTCAATCAAAGTACCTAGGGCGGTATACAATTCATCTTAAGAACACAGCCTAAAACATCATAAACTTCATCTAAAGTACAGAAGGGACATTGGTGGTGCTGTGGTCTAAACCACAGAGCCTAGGGCTTGCTGATCAGAAGGTCAGCAGTTCGAATCCCTGCGACGGGGTGAGCTCCCGTTGTTTGGTCCCAGCTCCTGCCCACCTAGCAGTTTGAAAGCACGTTAAAGTGCAAGTAGATAAATAGGTACCACTCTGGCGGGGAGGTAAATGGTGTTTCCGTGTGCTGCTCTGGTTCGCCAGAAGCGGCTTAGTCATGCTGGCCACATGACCCGGAAGCTGTCTGGACAAACGCTGGCTCCCTCGGCCTATAGAGCGAGATGAGTACACAACCCCAGAGTCGCCCGCGACTGGACCTAATGGCCAGGGGTACCTTTACCTTTTAAAGTACAGAAGTAATTTCATATAAGAGATACGCAATCATGTAGATCTCACAAGTAGATTGGTTGGTTTTTGCATACCTACCACTCTCTGCAGGACAAGCAGTTGCAATTGGGTGATTTATAAATAAAGCATCTACTTACCCAGAGTTCCATTTTAATTGGTGTGGTTCATCAGTGTGGACTTGGCTGGTGCCAATACAAGTCCCATGTCATCTAAATCAAGATGCTAATGTCAAAGCACCTGGAGGGGTTTGTCTGAGTAGCTTTCCAGTTCAATATCACCACCAGGCAAAGCTCTGCAAGGTCTTTATTGGCATGTGTTCCCTGAACGACTAATTGTATAAAGTGGCATCTCACGTTAGTGTCTGTGGTGATGCTGGCTGTGTATGTGGAAATCTAAAAAGCCAGTTAATATCCTTTTAATTGCTGGAGTTCAGTGTCTCATTTCTGCCTTGGAAATGTGCCAGCAGAGAGATGGACACTGGGGAATGAAAGTGACAGCTTTTGCCAAGTTACTTCTATAGTGTAATATTTTAGCCTATTTCCATCAGTAGCTCCCAGATTTTAAATGGAAAAATGAGAAACAAAAATAGTCAGATTTCTCCAGATTCTCCAGATTTTTGGTCATGGTAATCACCCGTATTGGCATCTCTTTTTATGTCTACAGCCACCATTTTGTGCTGGCACCCACAGCACTTATCAGTACAGTGGTACCTCGGGTTAAGTACTTAATTCGTTCCGGAGGTCCGTACTTAACCTGAAACTGTTCTTAACCCGAGGTACCACTTTAGCTAATGGGGCCTCCTGCTGCTGCTGCGCCACCGGAGCACGATTTCTATTCTCATCCTGAAGCAAAGTTCTTAACCTGAAGCACTATTTCTGGGTTAGCGGAGTCTGTAACCTGAAGCGTATGTGACCTGAAGCGTATGTAACCCGAGGTACCACTGTATGTGGGTATTGGAACCACTTAAAAAAACCAAACCAAACCAAACCAAACCAACAGCTCCATTCCTAAATCAAAGAGGCTCATTGTGATTTCACGATAGACCGAGTTTGGAATCTTGGGAGTCGGCTTATTGAATACATTCTTGCCTAGGATTGTGCTGCAAATCTTTACTTGGTGTGTCAACGAACACACGCCATCTGCTCAAACAAGCATCGTGCTCAAAGTATTTCCACATGGCAACATTACAGCCTTAAAAATACATTTGCCATAGGTGCAATTGGGGAATCTGGGTCTTAAATGGTGCTAATTGAAGGGCCAGTTCCAATAGGAACACGCAGCAGCAGCAGGAGGGACATAATAAGGAAAAGGCACATGAAAGGTTGCATTCTGATATCATGTTTTTCATAGGGAGAAGGATTAGCATTTCCTGATAATCCTCCAGCTCTTTTTCCTGTGATAATGATACAGGCAGCCCCCCAATTTAAGCACATTCAATATGCACGCAAATGCACACCGCAACAAACCCAGAAGTGATTTTTAAAATCCCCCAAACAAGCCCAGAAGAATCCAGAAAGGTCAGAAAAGGCACAGAGAGAGCACCTGGCCTTTGCAATTGAAATCCCAAGAGCCCTTGCACCAACCGTTGAGGCCTGCAGAGAGTTAGAGTTTGAGGAAGGAGGTTATGAGAATGCGATGGTCTTGGAGTTTGGTGGAGGTTTTGCTCTGATTTTTATTTTTTTAAAAAAATGCACTTCTTGATCTCACCCACTCTGCTCGACGGTGAAGATTAAAATTTATTCTGAACGTATCGAAACAGAATGCTGGGGAAACCACCGAGTTATTAGTGAGGCAGCATTTGTGTTATTTCAGCTTGGCTGCAGTGTAAAAGTATTATGATATGAAGGAATCACTGCAGCATGATTGACAGTTCGTTGTTTTTTTTTAAATGATATTTATTAAAGTTTCAACGAATACAAAAACAAAAAAAATGAAAATACAAGAAAGTACCAAATACAGAAAAAAGAATAAGATTTTTAAAATATAACAAAAAAAAAAGAAAAATAAAGGAAAACATACAAGATACAGTTAAAAACACATTAACGTTCCATAATATACCTTCCCTAGCCTTATTTCCCCGGACCTCCTCATACCTCCCTTTTTTGTATTCCAGTTTGGTTTGTTAGTTCAGCAAATCCTTACCATTAAGCTTTTACCCATTTATAAACCTTTTTTCATATCTCTTAAAGCATTGCAGCTGGAAACCACTTAGTTTCTATCTAACATCCTTCTAAGATTCATAGCATGATTGACAGTTCGAGCGGGATAGACAGCTATAGTAAAATGTGCTGTGGCTGTAATCTAATGTGACTACCAAGGCTATAACTAATGCTGGTTGACTAGTAAAAGGCCATAATAAATATGTTGGTAGCTTGTCCTTATTATAGGGGGGATGCCTGGCATAGAGTGCCAAGCTTCATTAGGCTGCTTTACGGCGCCCCAGCGTATCATTTTTTTCCTGCGTGTTGTAATTTTCAGAATTACAGTAGCATCTCCTAAGGCTGCCATAACAGAGGCTGTGCTGTAAAATGAAAAGCATTTTGGACAGGCACAGGGCATGGATATTTGCAATCTGCCATTCTGCAAAACTGATAAATGGGGAGAATGCTGATTAAAGAAGAGGTTTCTTTCTTTTTTTAAAAAAAAACAAAAACAAGTTAATCGCTACCTAGCACTGGTTTCCACAGAGCAGCAGGTTTAATTCTTGTGCCAAAAAGATGGGCGTTGCCCGTAAGATGCCACGAAGCACAGGATACGCATAAAGAAGCTAGCAAGATTTCTAAGTACAGGCATTTATGCTTGTTCAATATGTGTGTGAATGCGCACACGTGCATTGCGCTGAGTCTGGAAATTACCCAGAAATGACACAGAGAGGGGTGGAATGGGGCAGGGGCAGAATGGGGTGTTTGCAGGGTTTCCCCAGTGGTTTCAAATAGATGTGATTTCACTGACTCGCACGGTCCCTTGGAACATAACCTCCAGGTTAAAAGCTGTACATGGTGCAGCTGTTTCTCCCTTGTACTAACAAGACATGATGCATCTTTCTATCATCAGGGTTACATGTGCACATTATCATAGTAACCACATAGTGCTACACCAAATTGATGCTCCCATTCTCCCCCTCCCACAGTCTGGTCATATAGTCGCAGCTACTTCATTTTCAGAGACAAAAGTTCAGATTAAGCACGTCTCTTTCTGGAGGGTCTAATCATGAATGTGCCCATTTTCTGATCTCTCTCTCTCTCTCACTGGGATTAGGATGAATAATCAAGCTGTATAGAAATGTGAATTTAAGACCACCATTCAGAATTGCCTTTACTTTTCTGCTTAGACTTTGGCCCTCATACCAATTATTATTTTTGTACGGTTTACAAGCATGTTCTCAATCAGCATGTTTTCAGCAGACCTGCAAGGCACAGTTGTAAAGTCTTGTCAAGACTTTAAAGACTCTCTAAACTACTGCTCTCCCTCTCCTCCAAGATGTTTTTTCTACCACCAAGGTTCCAGGTGCATGTTTGCGTGGCGAGTTCCCGCCTCCCCCTCAGAAATAAAGACACGAGACACAAGAATTCGAGTTAATGGGTCAAATTAGGGCACAATTTTATTGATTACAGGAATTGAGCGGTATTGGCTTAGGCATTGGTCCTATCAACTAACCGGCGGCTTCAGCCCGCTTGCTTGAAGACCGGTAAGGGTTAACCACCAGTAGGGGGAGTCCCACTGATGCACATCAACTGGGAGCTCCCCCGGGGTCACCGCTTGGGGGCGTGCCGTGGGCCCACACCTCCATAGGCTTAGGACAAGGCCACGCCCCCCGGAATCCTTTGCCAGACTACCCTTTGTTTTGGGGGAAGGTGATGGCGCTTCCTCTCCCCGCTTCTTCTGCATAATAATACCCCCACCAATGCCTAACTGCCCATACCGGGAGTTGTGACGGTTTGCTACGAGGTAGGCAAAAACCAAATGGCTGGTGCCAATCTGCCAATTGGAAAAATTCCTACCAGGCCCCTTGACGGCAACCAACCGAAGTCCATAGCAACGTCAGAGAGCCTAGCCTAAAGGGTGGGAGGATTCCCCTGGTATCGCGGGGGCTGAAAGCCAGCTCCCGCGTGTGTGGGGAGGGGCGTGAAGCCCACAACCCCACCTCCTCCCTAGCTCGGAAGTGGCTTTGTCAGAGGGCCCAGCATACATGTGGAATCTCACAGGGCAGGAAGGGTTTAAAATAAAGCACATGGAAGCAAAACATCAAAACCCCTGTGTGCTTCAAGTTTTGTTTAGCAAACCCACAGATTCCTTTCCATTCCACCGTTTGACAGATACGTTTGAAAAGATCGATTCCGAAGTCCGTGTTTTGCCATGTGATACTTGCACTTATTGAATGATGGCTCAGTGCTGTGGCACAGCTAACACAACCCAGCTATCACCGATAAGCCTTTCTTATCTTTTTTGTATTAGGAGAGAGAGAGTGTGTGTGTGTACTTCTTATCGAGGGAACACAGTTCCCCTCTGGAGCCATATTCACTGAGTGGTAACCAATTCATCCGATGGGCTGAACTGAACTTAAAAAGAACCAAGCTGGCTTAGACTAAAGGTTCATCTAGCCTAGCACCCTACTTTCCGCAGATGCCTACAGAAAACCTCCAAGCCAAGCTTGAAGGCAATAGACATTACCTCCTGTTGATCCTCAGCACCTGGTATTCAGAGGCAGGCCGCATGTAAACCTGGTGCCATAGTGTTGTACGCATGACCATCTCCTCCTGCTCCAGTGCTCTCCTACCACTGGTGTTTGAAGTGGAGTACACATGATGATGTTACCCACAATCCCTAGATATAGCTCCCGTAGTTTATTGAGAAATACTGATGTTTGATACGTTTACCTTCAAAGTAGCTCCCATCCAATTTGAAAACGTAAGTCACAGTTAGGCAAAGGTGTGTACGTCTGAGGCAGTGTGCATGTGCATGGTGTCATTGAACTGGAGTTCACTGGGTTTGCAAGCAAGAGGAAATAAATGGAACAGTGTGCATTGGGTAAAAGTAAAAAAAGGGTAAAGGACCCCTGGACAGTTAAATCCAGTCAAAGGCGGTTATGGGGTGTGGCGCTCATCTTGCTTTCAGTCCGAGGGAGCCGGCGTTTGTCCACAGACTGCTTTCCGGGTCATGTGGCCAGCATGACTAAATCGCTTCTGGTGCAACAGGACATTGTGACGGAAACCAGAGCGCACGGAAACGCCGTTTACCTTCCTGCCACAGTGGTGCCTATTTATCTACTCATGCTGGTGTGCTTTCGAACTGCTAGGTTGGCAGGAGCCGGGAAAGAGCAACAGGAGCTCACCCCGTCGCGGGGATTCAAACCGCCCACCTTCCCATCGGCAAGCCCAAGAGGCTCAGTGGTTTAGACCACAGCGCCACCCGCGTCCACATTGGGTGCAGGGCCATTCTGCAAGAGAGGGAATGGTGGGAGTTGTTCAACAGTGGAACAGCCTCCCGCTCGGTAGTGGACTCTCCTCCCTTGGAGGTTTCCAAGCAGAGGTTGGTGGGGCCATCTGTCATGGATGCTTTGGCTGAGATTCCTGCATGAAACCTTGGTGTCCCTCCCAACTATACAGTTCTGTGAAAACTTGCTTACATTTGTAATCAATAAAAGTTGTGTCCCAAGTACTGTTTGTTGGCATCCTTCGGGGGTCGAGATGCCAGCTGACTAGCCCCCAGCTGGATCATGCCCTTCTAGCCATGACGATCCCCCGATCTCTGGTGCGACGTAAATCAGCGACTCAGACTTCAAAAGCCTGAAGTAGGGTGCGGAAAGTAGGGTGCTAGGCTAGATGAACCTTTAGCAGAGCATACTGTGCAAACAGAACAGGCGTGAGGCTTGTAGAAACATACTAACAGCTAAAGATTTATTAAGCATAAATCAGGACAAAGAAAACACGTCGTCTCCCTTTCTTCTCCTCAGAGAGACAGTGTCTAAAGCAAAAGATACCCACACACGGAAGTTCCCAGCAGACTGTGCTGGTATATAAACAGACATGTGACATGCAACAGTTCCATGTCTGCAACTAAAGGTGGAATGGAATTTTCCAACACTGTTGTCCTGTGTCTCAATTGTGTCTTGTTTGTGTGTGTACCTGTCCCCGCTCATGGCTTCACCACGCCCGGTCCCACAATGTCTGGAGGGCCACAGGTTCCCCCTGCTCTCTGCGCTGAGAGGCTACGAGCAAGGACCATGTGATGCAACTGGGCTTTCTTTTGAGAACACCTGAAAGGCTGAGCTCCACTTTTGATTTTACGTACGTTGCTGAAAAGAAGATTTAGCCTCCACAAGCTGTATTTCGTCCCTGCTGTACACTGACACGTTTTTAAAAAGAAATACTGTTTCCATAATTTGAACAAACAAGTTGCTCTTTATGGCCCCTTTCTGGGTGATGCACTGCCCCATTCACAGTCTATCAATATAACTGGGCCACTAACATTTTACAAAGGAGACATAAAGAGGTTAAAAATGTTAGGAGAGTTCTTAGGTTCTCTGCCATCTCCCCCGCCCAGGGTTATTTCCTCTACCCCTCTCTTGAGTTTTTATCTCAGAATAATAGGATGGTTTGTGCTGAGGTGTGTGTTTGCCTCCATGCTTTATAGTTCTTGTTATTACTGCAGTGTTGACCTCAGCACATTTTATTTAGGTTTTTCTGTTTTTCATTTTTTAGTAAACAGCATTATGGAACAACGATTGGACAGCACGTATGAGAAAAGGAATGATTGATGAAAGACGAGCCGCTGGAGAGAGCCCCAATCTGCAAGACACTGAGAATCTTCAGCGACGGGAAGGGAGGAACTGATTTTTCAGTGCATTTTTTTGGGAGGGGGGGGAGAGAAGTTTACGTAAAATAAATAAGAATCCAACAAAGAATAAATAGCATTGTAAATTCTAGGAAGCAGAGAGGACGGCATTATGCATTTTATCACGCACACAGCAATCTGGAGTCTGTGTTAGTTTTGAAAATTCTCAGAGCTACGAAGCCATTCTAAAAAGAGCGTTTAGATTGCCAGCAGTCTTCTGGCAAGGTGTTGAAAAGGTGTTGTTGTTGTTTAGTTGTGTCCGACTCTTCATGGCCCATGGTCCAGAGCACGCCAGGCACTCCTGTCTTCCACTTCCTCCCGCAGTTTGGTCAAACTCATGCTGGTAGCTTCGAGAACACTGTCCAACCATCTCGTCCTCTGTCGTCCCCTTCTCCTTGTGCCCTCCATTTTCCCCAACATCAGGGTGTTTTCCAGGGAGTCTTCTCTTCTCATGAGGTGGCCAAAGTATTGGAGCCTCAGCTTCACGATCTGTCCTTCCAGTCAGCACTCAGGGCTGATTTCCTTCAGAATAGAGAGGTTTGATCTTCTTGCAGTCCATGGGACTCTCAAGAGTCTTCTCCAGCACCATAGTTCAAAAGCATCAATTCTTCAGCGATCAGCCTTCTTTATGGTCCAGCTCTCACTTCCATACATCACTACTGGGAAAACCATAGCTTTAACTATATGGACCTTTGTCGGCAAGGTGATGTCTCTGCTTTTTAAGATGCTGTCTAGGTTTGTCATCGCTTTTCTCCCAAGAAGCAGGCGTCTTTTAATTTCGTGACTGCTGTAACCATCTGCAGTGATCACGGAGCCCAAGAAAGTAAAATTTCTCACTGCTTCCATTTCTTCCGCTTCTACTTGCCAGGAGTTGAAAAGGTAGGTGACCTTTAATGCCTTCCGGTTCCAGCCCTGTCCCAGAGGCCAGTTCACACCCACCCACCCAAGTTAACAATCTGATACTACTTCTTCTTCTTTGGTGATCACTCCTAGCCGAGTAAGATTGTCTTCCGACAATCCAATACATGCAGTGGAGGAAAGGGCGCACATCCTTTGCACAGGATACAAACCTTTGTGATGCAAACACTGCCGTACACAGTTGGCCAAATTCACAATTGTTCTTCCCCGCCTTTTGAAGGGGAGGGGTCACACAATGTTTGGCTCAAGCAGATATGGACCTATATCAAAGGTGGGCAGAATTCAAATCTTGTCGCATCTGCCCCCCTGATCTGCCAGCCAGATGCAAAAAACCCCCCCCAAGAGTCAAATAGAGCAGTCCTTGCACTCAGAAGTCCACTTATTAGCTTTGTACACACTCCCAATTGCTCTGTATCCCATGCACTCTGACCCCTGGTTTGGGAAGTGATGTGCACGAGATGCTAGCCACAATCCATATCTGTTATTATTAATATTAATCTATTTATACCCTACCTGATGGGACTGAAGACAGCTTACAGATAAAAACGAGAATCGCTAAAAACATGGGGGGGGGAATCATTTTAAAAACCACTAAACATTAATAGAATTAAAACTATATATATATATATATCTGTTTAAAACATACAATAAAAACAGTATGGCACCAGCCCTTTAATGAAAACCAAGCAAATTACCAAAAGCCTGTTGGAACAAAAAAGTATTTACCTGCTGGTGAATAGCAACAAGGAGGGAACCAGTCTAGCTTCTCCAGGGAGAGAGTTCCAGATTCTGGGAGCAGCCACCAAAGATCTCAAAGTCCAGGCAGGTTCATATGAAAGAATAATAATTCCACTGCCACTACTCATAATCATTATCATAATCGTCTTCTTACGTTAATTTCAGTCCCACTTTTCAGGGCATCTTCTGACACAAGATGGCTTACATATGTAATAAATTACAGCACATACAATGACAAAAATTCCAAACTGTTGAAATAACAATACAATAACACAGAACATCAGCCTTAACGTTAAATGTAACGGCACCCAATAAGAATTTCACAACTATTTCTCTCTGCCCTGCTATTAGCAGATCTGGTCCTAACCATCAGCTCTTGTTAATGAAACATCGGTTGACCATCCTGGGCTATTAACCAGCAAATTGCCTCGTTTTCCAACTACAAGTGTGTTCAGTTACAAATAAGCCTAGGAGGCTTGCTGAATTCGTCGTGTTGTGTGATTGGTTGACAAATTCTCTGAAGCTATCCTTTAAGAGCTGAAAGGGGAAGAGGCGAGAATAGCCAAAATTTCAGCATTGTAGCACAGGTAAGTGTCTGTGCGGTTACCTAAGTAGGAAGTCTCCTCTCAAGCAATTCTGCACATTGGGAATTAAGTAGGGAAAAAATGCTCAGGCACGTTAATGCAGAACGAAAGCAGAAAAGCACCCATTCCTTTGAGAATCTGCCTTCTTCTTTGAGTACCATGTGTGAAATCTCTCTCTCCCCTCTTAGCTTGATCTGCCGATTGAAGCACATTAAACTTATTGTAACCGGTGAAGTGATTAATGTGCCTGAATCCGAGTTGATCTACAGGGGGAAAAGATTCAACCTGAAATTCATTATATTGTACCTAGGTGAAGCAGGAGAATAAAAACACCCGAAAGGTGGTTTCTCATCTCCTGCAATGATACTTAATGAGAAGGCGAGGGGGCTCAATTCATTTCTCTCACTTTCTAAATATAACTTTATTGACTGAGTTCATTGCAATTTATCTTCCCACCTTTGCAGCAAGGTTTACTTTCTCAGAAAGCTCCGCTCACCCTTTGGAATTCCTTCTAATAATACTGGCACAACATGCGCTGCAATATTGAGCATTTCCTGAAGCACTGATACAGTTGAATTAAGCTCACAGGCTCACGCTCCCGCTGATCTCAGCGCTCCTGATTGAATAGCCTGCCAGTGGTGTCCCGTAGTTTTCAAACTTTCTCTACTCTAGGAACAATGTTTTACATTGCCCTGTTTGCTAAAGAAGCCCTGAGCGTCCACACTGGGGTCCTTTGCAGACTGCTCAAGATTCTGGAGCATGTTTAAAGCCGCACAGTCAGTTTGGGTACAGCACTGTTACCTGCAATCTGGCCCAGCATCAGCAAATGGTACCTATATGCATCTGTCTTGGCTGCAGTGTATTTCTAACGCCTTCCTCAAAGTGGGATGATCATACCGTCAAACATTTATCCGAAGAGAATTGGGATGTCCTATTCAATAATAATAATAGTAATAATAATTTTAATTCACACCCTGCTCATCTGACTGGGTTGCCCCAGCCACTCTGGGCAGCTTCCAACATATATAAGTAACATAATAAAACATAATAAAACATTGAAAAACTTGCCTATGCAGGGCTGCCTTCAGATGCCTTCTAAGGATTGTATACTTACTTATCTCCTTGGCTCATGGGTCATATACCTCCATGTCCTCCTTGGCTCATGGGTCATATACCTCCATGTCCTCCAAGTTTTCTCTGAAGAAAATAGGGATGTCCTAAGAAAAAGCAGGACTTTCCAGGGTCAAATCATGGAACACTTGTTTCTTTCGGTGCTTTAATTTTCCTTCAGGGCAGCAAAATGTGGTCTGAAAGTTAAAAGGACTAATAACTGCTCTGTTTGGTGAAGAAATATCCCTTTCAATCACAATATTAGTTTCAATTGTAGATGCTTTCTGTTTCTTTGTTTAAAGAAAAGTTGCTCAAAATGACCACCAATGTTTGTCACTTTTCAAGCCTCCTTTTTTCAGCCTTAATGAATTCCGAGTTATTTTCTTTTCTCAAAGGAGTAAATAACTGAAGGTTCTGGAAAGGATTTGAATCAAAGGACTTAATGCTACTGGTTGTGATCTGTTGTTGTTGCAGTAGTAGTCAGGGATTCTGAAGTTCTGAACCAGAAACCTTTATAGCCTAGGGCTGGGATTATAGCTTTGGGAGCTACCTGGGTGAGCGATCTGAACCTACAGTGCATTTCTAACTATGTCTCCTCAGTCCTATTGAATTCACTGGGCTTACTCTTGAGTAAGTGGGATTAGAATTGCAGTCTTAGATCTCAGATCACTATTCAAGTACAGATGGGAATAGGACCACCCACAGCTTCTCCTGAAGAGGAGGAAAGAGGATGAACTGCAGGAATAAACCCAGAAAGGCACACCCACCATACACAAAAAATGAACCATAGAGCCGATACGTGATATAATGGCAAAAGCAATGATGCTGAATTATCACAACATCATTAGGAAAAGCAAGCACCTGCAATATTAAAGGAGTACAAAACGCAATAGCGAAAAACACTGAAAATGCAAATGCCTTCAAACACCTGCAGCCAGCACCTAACTAGCTAGAGCTAGGTCTACAATTCACAAGGAGGTTAGAGAGAAATTGTTCCAAAATACATCAGAGCAGACAAGACATCTCTTCATACTCTGAGTAAATCCCGTCTGAATAAATATATCCATGGGCCTGTATGCAGAGCCGTCTTTGCCATTGGGTTTAGTTGCACCAGGGCGCCGGCCTCTCAGGGGCGCCCCAGTGAGTGGGGGAGCTGCGCAGCTTTGCCGGCAGCCTCCCCTTTCCCTGCATGCCCACCATGTTGGGTTGAAATTATGACAGACGAGTGGTAGGTGTCATATGAGAGGCGTCTCTGCCGGGGCAAGCCCCGGGAACTCTCTTTTATTGAATATTACAAACATTGCCACAGGTGTGCTTGTGACTGATTGGTTGATACAAACACAAAGCATCTTGTTGCTGATTGGTTAACATAGGTACAAGGCGGGAATTACATATGAGCATTTATCACTGATAGATCAAAGGATGAGAAATGGAGCTGGAACTAGACAGGCATGAAACCTCCTAATTAAATTATAACTAAAGATTGATATTGAAGGAACATAACATGAAAGAATACAACA